AATATTGAAACTATACACCATAAAACTTGTCCCATGGGGAAAAAAGACCAAGGAAGAAAAACTGGGAAGGAATTAGAACATAAATAAAAAACAGCATTAGAATAGAGAAGTGAATCTATAGTAATGCATTTGAAAAACAAATTATTGTAAGTTCACTGATCAGTTTTATAAACATTTCAATCTTTGGAATGTTATCTTTACATTTACAGGTTTTAGGCGATTTAAAAAAAATATTAAGGTTCTGATTTTCAGCAGATGTTCAAAGACCTTACATTTACAATTGATCACTACATAGAGACATTTAATTTGTTAAATCTTTAAGATCTGGTTTATTGGCTGTCTAAATAGAGCAAATACGTAGAGAAATGCTGATTACTTAATACTTAATGAAATACTAATTGATAGATTAAAAGATTAGAAATTAGCTTTAAACAAAGACAAATATCAATGGATATTTCTAAATACTAAATATTCCTAAATCAGTGACATTTTCTATTTGATATTCCTGAAGTATTATTTCTAATAGTTCTAATTAGTGAATACTTCTAAATATTAACTATTTATAAAAATCCAGGCATGAAAGAATCAATCAGTACCAACGTGGTTGCTGAGAAGTATCCAAACATTTTTAAGGAGCCAAAACGCATTTATGGCCTTCCAGAGGAGCTCTGGTGCCCCAACTAGTATTGCCAAAAACATGATAGCTGATTTTACTGAGGGGCTTGTGTAAAAAGATGCTTCTTTTAAGGTGAGTAACGATCTAACATTAAAAACAAATAAAATCAAGAGATATATAAGACTTCTTGAGTTTTCAAAGACAAGTTCTATCTTGTCTTTTAAACTTTTTAAGCTTTAAAAAAACCCTGATAATTGCAATATCAAACATGAGAAATATGATACAATCTCACATACAAATATAAACGTAAACACTATCAATAAAATCTTAACAAATGGAATTCAGCAGGTATAAATAATAATATACCAGAGCTGACCAGGATTTATTGCAGGGATGGTTAAAAACCAAGAAATCTATCATTATTAATTAATATATCAATACATTAAAGGAGAATACTATATGATTAAAGTAACAAATAATGAAACGGTATTTGGAAAAAATTAGGTATTTCTAATGTAGGAAACTACTTAGATACACAGATTATTTGCCCATAACCCAAAGCAAACCACTCATTAACCATGAAATGTTGATATAATTTCCATTAAATTGGAGGAAAAGACTGAAAGCCTGGTATCACTACCAATATACAATACAACCAAAGCTATTTCAATGAAAAGACTAATCCATATATTTAAAAAGGAATTTTCATTTTGGTTCGCCAATAATTTGACTGATTGTTTAGAAAACGAAATAGTCTAATAAAATTGTGAATAGAAATTAATAAGAATATCTGGTAAGATGAAAATTTACTATATTGAAATTTAAAATGTTTCTATGATGGGTATTGAACACAGTAAAAAATAGCATAAATCAGTATAAGTTTGGGAAAACTAAGGACATCATATAAAACAAGCAAAGGATTTAGATACTATTTTTTAAAGCATCTATAAATCAGCAGGAAAAAGATTAATAAATGGGCAAAAAACAGAACTAGGAAAATCATAATAAATAACACGATTGGCTGACAAAAATATGTGAAAAATAATCAACTCACTAGTAATTAGAAAAATAAAAACTAAACCACATACTAGAAGAAGAAATATAGGACACATTTCATTGTTGACTGAGTTGTCAGATGTTACAAAAATAAACAAGCTAGCAATACATACCAAATGCACACAAATACACACACCCTATGCCTCAGCAGTTAGACTGTTGTTCACATCTACTAGCATTTGAGAACAAAGCTAGCCACTGTTTTTGTAATACTGAAAAACAGTCAACAACTGTATAATGATCAAAGGGCAAGACAAATTCATTGACGTATATGTATATAAACTTGGGCTAAAAGATAGTTCATTTTGTAGAAAGAACATTCAGAAAAAGGAAGCTAACTGTAGGTCATGATGGGAGCTGTCTGCCATCAAATCATCACTAATTACATGAAGTAACGACATAATTCCAACCTTAGAGTCGCCCCCTTTGGATTTGGCAACGCTCCCCAGAGATGCTAACAGCTTTAGCAACGGGGTTTCCACGGAAACATTATCAAAGGCTCTTCACCACAGGTCCCATTCATCTGTCAGCTGACATGAGCGTTTCATTGTTCAAAAGCAGGGACTTAGTATTCAGCACTTCATAAACTTGTTTAAGCACAAAAACGTTTTTAAAAATATTATCAAGTTCTAACAGTGCTCCTGGGGGCATAATTACAAATATTTTGGGTAAAGGTATGTCTTTACATTCAACCTGCAAATATAGTAACCTGGAGAATTACCACGTTGACCTACTGCACCAATGGGTTATATTAGGGAACTCAAATTATCCCATTGTGTTATATTTAATTCTAAAACTTTACCTTGTATGGGATGATGGTTTTAACTATCAGATGGTGAATCATTAAATAGGACACTGGATTCCCCATCTGCAACAAATGGATATAGAAATGTCAATTATTAAGGGAAAATCACATGGGTATCTGGATGGTTGGTTGACAATAGGTAATTTGCGATTTTCCACAATCATTCCTTTTTTTTTTTTTTTTGAGGAAGATTAGCCCTGAGCTAACATCTGCTGCCAATCTGCCTCTTTTTGCTGAGGAAGACTGGCCCTGAGCTAACATCCATGCCCATCTTCCTCTACTTTATATGTGGGACGCCTACCACAGCATGGTGTGCCAAGTGGTGCCATGTCTGCACCCGGGATGCGAACCGGTGAACCCCGGGCCACCAAAGCAGAACGTGCGCACTTAACCACTGCACCACTGGGCCAGCCCTCCACAATCATTCTTATTTGAAAGGTATTAATTCTTTTATAGGGTTGAATACTAATTATGCAAAAAGAATATTTCATCAAAACTCGTATGCTTTGATGCTGGCATTTTGACATTGCCAGAAAATACGGTGGAAGGCATTTCAAATGACTAATTTATGATGGGTAGCTGGCTGGAAGTGACTGAAAGTAGCTGTCAGTTATAAATAGCATTCTGATTTAGAAAATGGTAAAATGCAGGAAAAAAAAAAACTTGTTCCTTTTAGTATTGAAGAAATCTATAATTCAACTCATTCCTAAAGTTAAATAAAGATTAGAAAAACTAATCAATCTAGATCACACGTCAGCAAACTTTTTTGTAAAGGGCAAATAGTAAATAGAAACGCATATAACTTTTGATTTGGGCGACCTATTCTCATAGAGATTTATCACATAATCCATGTAGCAATGAGATGGAAAAACTTTGTTAGGAATAATTTCCTTATTTAAGTCTTACCTGAGAATGGGCCATAGTGCTACTTCTAAGAGAAAGAGGTTTTCCTTTGATTTTATTAAAATAAATTTCCAATATCATATTAGGTTAATTTTGATAAATCACATTTTTTCTAGGAACATAATTCATTCTCTCTAGATTTCTAAGTATACTGGAATAAAATAAAGCATTATTTCATAATTTAAATTTTTCTTCCATATTTATATCCCTTTCCTTATTAACAATGCTAGAACATAATCATTAATATGTTTTTCTTGACCAGATTTACCAATGTCTACTTGATGTTAATATACTTTTAACGGAGAAATTTAAAAGTTAAAAAATACTGTTGCAAGATTACTGTTTCACTTCTAAATCACTAAACTCTACTTCTACATGTATCATTGCTTTTCACAGGAAAAACCCCAAACTTTTAAAGAGTATTATTTCAGTTACTAATCAATAAACTCTAATAATTTTAGTTGTATTAATTCCTTATTTTGACTTAGGATTTATGTTGTTGTTTTCCTAGCTTTCTAAGTCAAATTCTTATTCATTATTTTTTTCTTTCCCAAAGATTGGCACCTGAGCTAACATCTGTTGCCAACTTCTTTTTTTTTCTGCTTCTTGTCCCTAAATCCTCCCAGTACATAGTTGTATATTCTAGGTCCTTCTAGTTGTGGCATGTGGGACGCCACCTCAGCATGGCCTGATGAGCGGCGCCATGTCCATGCCGAGGATCCAAACCAGCTAAAGCCTGGGCCGCTGAAGTGGAGCGTGAACTTGACCACTCGGCCATGAGGCCGGCCCCATTATTTTCTTACTGCCTACTAAGTGACAGGCACTGAACAGGTTCTGGGGATAAAGAGGTCAATGGAAATAAAGCTCTAGTCTTCATTTTTGGTTTCCTGCATGCATTGAAGAATGTTACATTTTCAACAAGTAGAGGACTGGCAACATCCCAAAGTTCTGGTATACAAGCATTTCATTATCATTCCTTTCCAACTAGGCCCTCGTTTCAATTTTAATTTCCTATTCAATTCAGGACTTATACGTGAGATTATCAATTTGCAAAAGGAGGTGGCAAAATACTACCATGCAGATGTAAAATGGATCTCTACATTGGAGAGATCTAGCAGTCACCACGACAAAAAAGTGATAATATCTAGGATCATTAATAGTGGCAAAACTCAAAATTATATGCTTCTTAATGTACACAACATCAACTCAATGAAACCCCTTGAACTTCAAATTTGCTGGAACTATTGGGGATAGAAAAACGAGATAAATGACCCACAAGGAAACTACCTAAAAAATCCAGAACGTGGGATATTCGATAAGACTACTTTCTTGTACTCTTCAAAAATCCAGTCATGAAAAAATGGTGAGGATGTTGTTCTAAAGCAGGAATTCACAAAATTTTTGTGCAGAACTAGTTGGTGACTATTTTAGGCTTTGTGGGCAAGACAGCCTCCTTTGCGACTATTCAGCTCCATTGAGAAGTACAAAAGCGGCCATAGACAGTATGTGAAGAATGACCATGGCAGCGCTCCAACAGACTCATGTTTTAAATCCTCCCATGTTTTTTACATTCTACTAGATTTTTGTCTAGAAAGAATTATTTAAAACTTAACAAAGGCATAAGTAATTACATGAAGTTTATCTAAATTCACCACATCCATATGGACTTGATCACATAATAACTCATTGATAGGAATACAAATAATGACAACACTAAAAATAGCATCTAATACTCACTGAATAAAGACTATGTTTGAGATAGCTCTCCAAGTTTTCTATATTCCAATAACAGCAATATAATGTTGGTACTATTATCATCATTTACGAATGAGTCCCACAGGGATAAATATCTTACCCAATGTCATACAGACTGTAAAGAATCAAATAGCAATCCTGATGGTTTTCCACATTTGTTAGGTCAACAGGGGTTTTCTGGGGTATGAGTTTTCTCAAGTTTAACAATAATTGACTAGGGCTGGAGGGCTTTTATAAATAAAGCATCAAAAACAAGGGCATTTCTACATTCTCTGAGTTTTCCTCCATTATGAATATTTTCATAATCTATAAATAGAGAATTGCTAGTAAAGGTTTTCTCATGTTATATAAAAATAGATCCTAAATTCTCTGAATATGAACAATATTTGGGTCATAAATTTAAAAACCAAAACAGCATTTACATTCTGAGGGATTCTCACCAGTACAAATTATTTAATGCCTTATAAGAACTCAACCATATCTAAAAGCATTCCCACATTCTTTTCATTCAAATTTTTTCTCAGTGTTATAAATCCATTGCTGTCTGTACCTTGTCTACTGCATATATGCCCTTCCACAGTCCTTACATTCATAAGGTTTCTCTCCAGTATGAATTCTCTGATGTACTTTAAGACTTGAATTAAGCCTAAAAGACTTCCCACATTTGTTACATTCAAAAGGTTTCTCACCACTGTGAATACTCTGATGTCGAGTAAGTCATCCATACACACTAAAGGCCTTCCCACATTCCTTACATTCATAGGGTTTCTCACCACTATGAAATCTATGATGTACAATTAGTTGATGGCCACTACTAAAAGCCTTCCCACACTCTTTACATTCATGGGTTTCTCACCAGTGTGAATTCTATGATGAGTTCTAAGGCTTTCAACCTGACTAAAGGCCTTCCAACATTCCTTACACTCATATGGTTTTTCACCAGTATGAATTCTCTCATGCCTCACAAGGTTTGAGGTACAACTAAAGGCCTTCCCACATTCTTTACATTCATAGGGTTTCTCACCAGTATGAATTCTGTGATGCATTCTTAATAATAAATAAGAATAAAGGCCTTACCACATTCTTTACATTTATAGGGCTTCTCACCAGTATGAATTCTTTCATGCTGAATAAGTGCTGAAGCATGACTAAAGGCCTTTCCACATTCCTTACATTCATAGAGTTTCACACCAATATGCATTCTCTGATGCGGAATGAGTTGATAGCCACGACTAAATGTCATTCCACATTCCTTACATTCATAGGGCTTCTCCCCAGTATGAATTCTCTCATGCTGAACAAGATTTGAGGCACAACTAAAGACCTTCCCACATTCCTTACATTTGTAGGGTTTCTCCCCAGTATGAATTCTATGATGTACTCTAAGATCTATACCACGACTAAAGATCATCTCACATTCATGGCATTCATAGGGTTTTTCACCAGTATGAATTCTGCCATGTTGTACAAGGTGAGAGGCTTGACTAAAGGCCTTCCCACATTCCTTACATTCATAGGGTTTCTCACCAGTATGAATTCTCTGATGTATTCTAAGTCTTCCACATTGACTAAAGGCCTTCCCACATTCATTACATATGTAGGATTTCTCACCAGTATGAACTCTTCCATGTTGAGTAAGATGTGAGACACAACTAAAGGCCTTCCCACATTCTTCACATTCATAGGGTTTCTCACCAGTACGAATTCTCTGATGAACTCTAAGATCTATCTTACGACTAAAGGTCATTCCACATTCCTCGCATTTATAGGGTTTTTCACCAGTATGAATTCTCTGATGTTGTGGAAGGTTGGATGCACAATTAAAAGCCTTTCCACATTGCTTACATTCATAGGGCTCCTCTCCAGTATGAATTCTCTGATGTACTGTAAGGTCTGTATGTCAACTAAAGGCCTTCTCACACTGGTCACATTCATAGGGTTTCTATGATGAAACTTCTGATGCAGAGTAAGAGATGGACATTTTTCATAAATGGGTACTTTTTCATAGCTGATTATTTCATATCTTGACTCCAAATCTAAAAGAAATGAGAAAAACATTTTGTTTTCCTGACCAAAAAAGGTGAATGTTTTACAGTAGGTTTTCTTAAAAATAAAAAATATCACCTGTTAGAGATGAATACTTTAGAGAACTCTAAAATCGGCTATGCAGTTTGAAACAGTTACTGACAATGTCTCCATAATTCATTTATCACACTTTACTACAATGATTTAATGTACTCTTTCCTGTATAAGTTTCCATATAAAATATAAATATATTAAAGGCAACTGTTTATACCTGATCTTTCTCCAATTATATATTTCCCCTTAAAAATACAGATACTGTGGTTCACTCCCTCCAGTGCACAGCCATGTGTGCATTTCTTTGTTCCCATATGAAATAAAATGAGAGTTCTTATTTACTTATCTTCATCGAGCTCCTTCTTATTAACTACCCATTCTACAGATGTTTTATCTGTTTTATCCCTTCAAATCTTCCCTCAGGTCCTCTCTCTCTTTTCCTTCTAACCAAGGTTGATCATTCTGGTAATTCCTACAAGTCTCTCAATGAATTTTCAGACATGTACTGGGTATACACCCTACAAAAAGTCTTATAAAACTCTGAGAATCTGGGGACTTCAAGGAAAAGAAGTGAAACTGAATTATACAGTGAAGGAGTTTGGAGGAAGAATGCCAGGAAGTATGTGAAAAAGAACTGACAGACGTAACCTGTAACATAACAACCAATATGAAGGAATATCTTGATGAAATTTGAAACTGCTGAATAAGCAGCATGAGATGTGGGGGCAAGAAATATCTTGCAAGTAGAGTATGTACGTGGCAAAACTCTGAGACAACATACACACTCTCGCTCCAAAAACAAGTAACAATATAAATTAATAGCCATATTAGAAAATGAAAACATGTTCCACATGAAAATGGAAACATCCTCTCTAGAATAAATGCTGGGTAAATATGGAAATATAAAACTGAAATAGAAGAATTCCAGTAAATTACAATAGAGAAAATAACTACATACCATAATCTCGGAAATTTCAGCATTCAGAGAATTCAAAGATTTAAGCACTTATTTCAATAAAAAGTGAAGAAACAAATGAGTTAAGGAACCACTTCCAAAACTTAGAAAATAAACAAAGTAAAGCAGAAAAAATAAATTAAGATAAAAGAAAATGTAACGAATTAGAAAAGAGTAGTGTTAATAAATAAAGAGCTGGTGCTTTAAAAATCAAGAAGTAAAACACTAGCTAAACCAATCAAAAAAGAACAAAAACAAAAAAATGATTATGGGGTAAATGCAAAATTAAAATGAATTTTATTGATATTATGAATACTTCTTAATACATCATTAATACTTTTGAAAGTATAAACAAAACGGAAAATTTTCCAGAAAAATTCAACAAAATTCATCAAAAAAAAGTCACCGAGAAAGCTTAAACAGATCAATTGCCACAGAAGAAATAGAAAAAGGTGTCAGAAAAGATAGTTATAAAGAGAAATCTTTAACTCCTAAATTATAATTTCTAAATATCAATGTCCACCATATGGATCCAAGATAGTTGGATAAAAAAAACAATTTGGGAAGGGGGCAAGAAAAGTGAGCCTAGAAATCTTATGCCAGAAAGAAATGAAGATGTCAAAGACTTACATGACTGGCCAAAATTTTTAAAATAGTAGCATAAAAATGATTGTGATAGATAAAAAGAATACAATAAAAACCAATGAGTCCATCATGATACAAGAGAAAATAAATGAAAAAAACCATTTTCACCATTAAATACTCCTTAACTGAGGAAGTTCTACTTTCAGGATGGTGGAGTAAACCTCTTAGAGTCCATCTCCCTTTCTGACTGGCATCAACTAAAAATGCTTGACAAAATAAATCAATCACCTGAAGTCAGTAAATAAAAGTAAACAAAAGAGGAAGAGTGGAGAGGGGAGTGAAAACCTTAAGAAGTGACTTACACTAGAGTGAGTTTCTTGCTATTTTCCCTGTCACTTATAGCCTTCCCACAGGGGTGGGCCCCAGTTATACTGGCACAAAAATGGGCTACAAAAGCCCCAACATATTTCCTGCTATGAAAACCATGGCAAGGAAAACAACCAAACTGGAAAGTGAGGGAGGAATCCTGGATGGGAAACATTTAGAGAAGATTCCCTAATTTGGGGTACAAACCAGTACAAATCTTAGTCTGAATCTGAATTACACATGCATGAGAAGAACACAAACCAGTGTAGCAAAGCCTCAGAGAACCAACTGAGAATTAAACCACTGCCCACAAACAGCAGAACACACGTAAAGTCTAAATATTATTGCTTTGACTACTTGCTAAAATATCAACATGTAAACATATCAGTATTCTTCAGAGAAATGGAGAAAACCCAGAATAAATACAACACAGCACTCACAACGTCCACCAATACAATTCAAAATTACTCATCATAAAAAGAAAAAATGTGATCCCCTCTCAAGGGAAAAGAAACCACAGATGCTAAACCTGAGACAATCCAGGTGGTAAAATTATCAAACACATAAAAGATGCTATTTTTATTTATACACTAAGAGATTAAGAAAAAATGTAAAACCCACACATTTGAAATTACTGAAAAGATATGAAATAGAAACAAGAGAAAAAGAAACCACATAAAGAACAAAATGAATACTGCAGAACTAAAAGATATAATTTCTAAAGTTGCTGGAAGATCTTATGGCAGAATGGAAACAACAGAGAAAAGAGTCAGTAAACTTGACAGATGTATAGAAATGTACAGACAGATGTCAAGATGAAATTCATAGATATTACAGGTTAAAAACTTTTATAATAGAGCTTCAGGGACCTGTGGTAATAAATCTAAAGATGTAATTAGGATCTGAAAAGAAAACAGAGACAAAGGCAAAAAAAAATGTCTGATGAAAAGAACAAAACTACTAAAGGAAGTCATTTAGGCTGACGGAAAATGATACAAAAGAGAATCTTGAATTATCAGGAATGAAGGAAAGGTATCATGAAAGGTAAATATCTACGTAAATACGTGAGATCATTTATTCCCCTTTAAGTTCTTTCGGATATATGTGACTGTTGAAGGCAAAGCTTATAACACTGTCTGATGGTATTTTCAATGTATGTAGATGTGATAAACATGACAATTATGAAGGGAAAGGTAGGTATAAAGGGATTGAAGTTGCAAAGTGTCCTCATTTTACAAGAAATACTACAATATTAACTATGTAGATTGTGAAAGCTTAGGTATATTGTATATTGTAATGCCTATAACATACATTAAAATAAATATGCAAAGAGAAACAGCCAAAATGCCAATAGATAAGTTAAAATGAATAGTAAAAAAATTTAAATATCCCAGTACAAGGCAGGAAATGGGAAACAGAACTAAAACCAAGAGGATAGGACATTAGGAAGATGGCAGACTAGGAAGATACAGGCCTTTGTTTTCCCCAAGAGACACTGAATTAACAGCAATATATGTACCAAAATGTCTTTGTGAGAACACTAAAAACTAGGTAAGGGGCTACAGAACCCCGGTAAACATATAAACAAAACAAGAGGCAGCCAAAAAGGGTAAGAGTTGGTCATAGTTTGCTTGCCCTAGCCCCTCGTGCCACCCAGGGTAATGAGGTCAGATGGGGAGAATACCACCTCCCAATTTCTGGCTCCTCTCTTGGGACAGAAAAAAACGTGGAACTTGTGTCCAGCATTCTGGCTTGTCTGTAGGCTGCCCAAGGGACTGGTTTCTGTCTCACCTGGCTTGGGGTGCTGATGGAATGCCAGCGTAGTTTGCACATCAGGTTGGAGACCACTGAAAACAGGTAAGCACCGCAGTGTGTTAGAGCAGTAGAGGATGGGCAGTTCCACAGGCAGTCGCCAGGAGAAGCAAAAGATTAAGGATAGAGGAATGCAACAGAAACTGAAAGCTCCTGAGAAGAGACAGGAAATTAAGACAGTTAAGCAGCCATATATACTAGAATAAAAGCACACACACAACCCCAAAAAAGATGCATCTCCAGAAAAGGTGCAAAAGGTTCTAGAACCCCTGGCTGGGCTGACTGGTGAAGGTCTTCTCTTGTACAGAGCCATTCTGTAAAGACTGAGAGATGTAGCTCTTTTCTTAAAGCTAAAATCTCAACAAAAGATCACAAGGCATACAAAGAAACAAGAAAACATGGCCCAGTCAAAGGACTGAAAACAAAGCTGTAGGAACTGACGCTAAAGAAACAGATCTATGAAGTTTCTGAAAAAGAATTTAAAATGACTGTCTTAAAGATGCTAAATGAGCTAAAAGAGATCACAGATAAGACAACTAAATGAAATCAGGAAAACAATGCATGAAGAAAATAAGAATATCAGCAAATAGACAGAAATTATAAGATAGAACCAAACAGAAATGCTGGACTTGAAAAATACAACAAACTGAAAAATTCATAAGAGGGGTTGAATAGCAGGCTTGATCAGGCAGAACAAAGACTCAGCAAACTTGATGAAAGGTCATTTGAAATCATCAAGTCAGAGGAAAAAAACGAAAAAAGAATGAAATGAAGAGTGTCTAAGGGACATGTGGGAGAACATCAAAGGGACCAATATACACATTATGGGAGTCCCAGGAGGAGAAAAGAGAAAAGGGCAGAGAGCTTATTTAAAGAAATAATGGCTGAAAACATCCCAAATTTGAGGAAAAAAAACAAGAAGCTGAATGAACTCTCACTAGGAAAATTCAAGAGACCCATATCTAGACATATAATAATAAAACTTTTGAAACTCAAAGAGAAGGAAAGAATCTTGAAAGCAGCAAGAGAAAAACAACTCATCACAAGTGGGCTTCCATAAGATCATCAGTGTATTCTTCAGCAGAAACATTGTAGACCAGAAGGGAGCGGGATGATATTTTCAAAGTACTGGAAGAAAAAAAAAAAATCAACCAAGAATAGTATATCTGGAAAAACCGTCCTTCAAAAATGACGGAGAAATCATACCTTCCAAGATAAAACAAAAGGATACTAGAAAGTCACACAAACCCACACAAAAGTATATAGTTCTCCAATAAAAGTAAATATATGGACAAATATAGAATCTTGTATTATTGTAATTCTGGTGCATAAATCCACTTTAAATTCTAGTTTAGAATCTAAAAGACATCATAAAAAAACTAGTCTATGTTAATGGGTACACAATATATAAAGATGTAATTTATGACATCAATAATAGAAAGGTGGAGAGCAGAGCTATAAATGAGTAGTTTTTGTATGTGACTGAAGTTAAGTTTTTATCAGGTTAAAATAGATTATTATAACTTTAAGATGTTTTATATAATCACAATGGTAACCACAAAGGAAGTATCTATAGAACACACACATAAGGAAATGAGAAGGGAATCAAAGTGGGTCACTACAAAAAAAAAATCAATGAAACACAAAGGAAGGCAGTAAGAGAGGAAACAAGAGTCAAAAAAGCCAAACACACAAAAACACCCAGAAAATAAGTAACAAAATGGCAATAAGAAATCCTTTCCTATCAGTAATTTAAATGTAAACAGATTAAACTGTCCAACCATGAGACATAGATTGGTTGAACTGGATAAAAAACAATTTAATGACTTGCTACTTACAAGAGACCCACTTTAGATCTAAGGACATACACAGACTAAAAGTCAAAGGATGGAAAAAGATATTCCATGCAAATGGCAACCTAAAGAAACTAGGGGTGATTTGAAGTAAAAAACTATCACAAGAGACAAAAAGGGCATTATATAATGATAAGACAGTCAAATCACCAGGAAGACAGACAATTATAAATATTTATGCACCAAATATCAGAGCTCTAAAACATATGAAGCAAACACTGAGAGAATTAAAGGGAGATATAGACAACAATACAGTAATGGTGGGAGACTTCAATACCCTACCTTCAATAATGGATAGAACAATCAGGCAGAAGATCAATAGGGAAATAGAGGACCTGAACAGCACTAGACAAACTGGACCTAACAGAAATACAGAGAACACTCCACACAACAAGAGGAGAATACAAATTCTTCTCAAGTGCACACGGAACATTCTCCAAAATAGATCACATTAGACCACAAAACAAATATAAAGAACTTTTAAAAGACTGAAATCATAGCATCTTTTCTGATCACGAAGGAATAAAATTAGAAATCCACAGCAGAGGGAAAACTAGAAAATACATAAATATGTGGAAATTAAACAACACACACTTAAATGCCACTTAGATAACAAATGGGTTAAAGAAGAAATCACAAGGGAAATTACAATGCTGTAAGACAAATGAAAGTGAAAACAGAACATATGAAAACTTATGGGACACAGAAAATATAGTACTTTCAGTCTTTCACCATTGAGACTGATGTTAGCCAGGCTTTGCATATATGGCTCTTATGTTGTTGAAGTAGTTTCCTTCTATTCTTAGTTTCTTGAGTGTTTTTGTCATAAAGGGTATCGAATTTTGTCAAATGCTTTTTCCACATCAATTGAGATGATCATGTGTTTTTTCCCCTTTATTCTGTTACTGTATTGTGTTACATTGCTTGATTTTTATATATTGCACCATCCTTGCATTCCAGAAATAAATCCCATTTGGCGACGGTGTAGAATCCTTTTTTATGTGCTTGTGAATTCAGCTTGCTAGTATTTTGTTGAGAATTTCTGCCTCAATATTCATTAGGAATACTGACCTGTAGTTTTCTCTTCCTGTTGTGTGTTCGTGTGGCTTTGGTATCAGGGTAATGCTGGCCTCGCAGAGTAAGTTTGGGAATGTTCCTTCCTTTTTGATTTTTTGGAAGAGTCTGAGGGGAACTGGTGTTAATTCTTCTTTAAATGTTCAGTAGAATTCAACAGTAAAGTGACTGGATCCAGGGCTATTCTTTGTTAGGAGGTTTTTATAACTGATTCAATCTCTTTACTAGTACAAGTCTGATTAGATTTCCTATTTCTTCTTAATTCAGCTTTGGTAGATTGTGTATTTTCAGGATTTCATCTAAACTACCCAATTTGTTGGCATACAATTGTTTATAGTCCCCTCTTTCATTTCTGATTTTAGTTACTCAAGTCTTCTCTCTTTTTGCTTCAACTATCTAGGTAAAGTTTTCTCACTTTGGTTGATATTTTTGAAAAATCAACTCTTGGCTTCACTGATTTTCTCCACTGTTCTTTGCTTCATTGATTTTCTCCACTGTTTTTCTAGTTCCTTGATGTATGAAGTTAGGTTGTTGACATGAGATCTTTCTTTCTAATGTAAGCGTTTACAGCCATAAACTTCCTTCCTAGCACTGCTTTCAATGCATCCCATTAAGTTTTGGTATGTATTAAGTTCTGAAATGGGAAAGTGCAAATTCTGTTTTCTTCAAGACTTTTTGGCTATTCTGGATCCCTTGCATATCCACATGAGTTTCATGATCAGGATGTCAAGTTTTGCAAATAAGACAATGAGATTTGGCGTGGTACTGCCATCTTAACAATATTAAGTATTCTGACTTTAAGAAACTGCTACAAGAAATCAAAGAACAACATAAATCAGAATTAGAAAAACTCAGAAATGAAGTGATAAAGCTCAGGAATACAGGAGAGATAAAAGAAAAAGTAATTTCAGAAGACCAACCTAGAAAGAAATTAAGAAAAACTCCAATAGATTAATATTAGGACAAAAATTTCTTTAATAAAAATTAATACATATATGAAAAGTATATGAGAGAAGCAAATAAGTAATCAATCTATATTTATTTTATCTAGACTTCTGTGTAAGTCTCATAATTAACAAAAAGGTTTAATTTTTGAAAATTAAAGATATTAAAAATATAATCAGATCATGGCTCCTAAATAATCTTAGAAAACAACTGTAATTCCTCTTAATGAATCATAACACCTTATATGATCTGGTCCCTCATAACATACTGACTGCACATTTTGTTAGTCACCCCTCAATAACCCTGCTCTCATCTACCTGCTGCTCTGAAACACACAATATTCGGGCTCCCTTCCAGGCCTTTGCATTTGTTGTTTACTCTTCTTGGAATGCTCCTCAGATACTCAAATGGCCTGGGCCCTTTACTATCTATGTCTCAGCTCAAATATCACCTCCTCAGAAAAGGGTTCCTGACCATCCTGCCTTACCTAAATCTGCCCTGTTCTTGGTTAGTTTCCTTCATACTACATTTCACTACATAATGTTGTATATCTACGTATTTGTTTACATGATTATTTATATGTCTTACCTAATACACTATAAACTCCATTTTATTAGCCAGATATAGGAATGAATACATTTTTTAGGCAATGAAACCTTGTCCTGCACAAGAGGATCTGGAAAGCACTTTGAGTTCAAAATACAGATAAAATGGTGCATGAGGAAGAAGGACAATGCCAATCACTGAACAGGGACAGAAATATGAGAAGAATAACAAAGTGAGTGGTTAATGAGGTGAAGATGAAACTCACTGGGTAGCTCATGCAGAGTATTTATTTCCCCTCTAGATCACAGGTTATTTTCTCCAATGCGAATGCAGCTTTCCAACCAACACTTCAAGTGTGTCTCGTCCTTAACTACTTGGGCTTTTGCTTACACAAATATATTCCCACAGTTGGACTTGCTCATACTTACTCGTATAGCATCTTCTCGTTTCTTCCCTTACAACCATCCAGGGCTCCTTTCCTTGCTCCAATAATGTAATCACATCTGGCTTAGAATTGGAATGTCTTGCTTACAAAGAAAAAACATGCCATATGATGTAGAACAAAACATTGTTTAGTTAAAATTATAATAATAATAAACTAAACATAAAATGATATTGAACAAGATTTTTGAGAAGAGAGGGTAAGGGAACTAAAAAACAAAAAATTAGGCATGGTAGTGGTTTTTAAAAATATACACTCATATATCCTCTTTTTCTTGAGAGCATGCACAATACCATAGCTAAAAACAGAGATTTTGGAGCTGTGGTTCAAGTCCCGCCTTTGCCACTTTCAGCTGTGCCTGATTTTGGGAAAGTCACTTAAACCCCCTGGGCCTCAGAATTCTCACTTGTAAAATGGGAATAAGAAGTCTGTTAGGAGGATTAAACAAGTTGATATGTATATGTAAAATGCTTAGAGCATTGCCTGTTACATACGAGCACAATGTCAGCTATCAACATTATTACTGATAATGTTGTTTTATGAAGAGTACACAAGAAGAGATACCTATAGGATATTCATTTCATTTTAAATGTAATGTTCATAGATTATAACTTTCAACCACAAAATAGAAAAAATTTCTTACAAAATATTATTTGTATGCCTCAGTTCTCAATTAATTCTATTTATCTAATCCACCACTACATAAATTGTGGAAGCTCTTTTACAGCAGTTAAGAGCAATTCAGGACCCTGTGACAAGCTCATCTCCCTACAAGTGGATCAGATATTAAAATGAAGTATCTATAGAAATTCTGAGCATAAATAAATAGGAAACCTGGATCTTTTGATGATGATTATAAATGCCAGAGAATTCTAAACTAGACCATATTCATTAAAGAAGAGAGGCAACTGCAAGTCAGATTGGAGGAGGTATGAGTGTCACTGAAGGACAGGGAAGGTGAAGGTGTTTAATGGAGCTGCCATTTCCAACGGGACAAAGCTCAAACCACTTCTTTGGAAAAAAAGAACAAAGAAATTTAACTAGTTTCTTGCAAAGCAGCCCTGAAAATCACAGTGGAAAAAAACATATCCTAAAGAACAGATTCTAAATTATTCTAAACCATTTGAAGCTGATAAACATACCCAGTGAGACGAGGTTTCTATAGCTCTCCACCATCACGTCCTGGTACAAAGTCTTCTGAACAGGGTCGAGACCTTCCCACTCCTGCTGAGAGAAGTCTATGGCCACATCGCTGAACGTCATAGATGACTGAAACGGCAAACCCACGTATTACTAGGGAAATTAAAGGAATATTTTGAAGCTGGAAGGAGAGGAGATAAGGACTGCATTGCAGGAAGAGAGCAACACAGCAAGTAAGTAGGCTAAAAATCTATACTATGAGAGGAGACTAAAGCAGAACATATGTTTTTGAAGAAGCCTGCTGGAATAGACAAAATTTCCTGGCACGCTCTTAAATATTTGAACCATTTGATAATAGATAAAATAATGTTTTACTGTTAAATAGTGAATACAAACATAATGCCTGATTGAGATGTGTCACATAAATTCTCAGTAAATGTGAGTCACTGAAGAAAATTTTCACTTTTTAGATAAGAGAAAATTTAATCAGATTTGTGTGTGTGTGTGTGAGGAAGATTGGCCCTGAGCTACTATCTGTTGCCAATCTCCCTGTTTTTTTTTTTCCTCCCCAAAGCCCCAGTACATAGTCGTATATTCTAGTTGTAAGTCCTTCTAACTCTTCTATATGGGATGCCGCCACAGCATGGCATGAGCAGTGTGTAGGTCCACACCCAGGATCTGAACCAGTAAACCCCGGGCCACTGAACAGGAGCACATGAACTTAACCACTATGCCAGCAGGCTGACCTCAATCAGATATTTTTTGAAATGCAGTATAAAGTCTTAATTTTAGAAAATAGGGTTTGTATAAAAATAATTTTTTCAAGCATTAAATACTTCACTACATCAGATCTTACCTTATTTTTTCTTGTTTTGATAAACCCATGTACTCTTTGGCATATGACATTATGTTTTACGGATTTAATCCTTACACAGGTAGGATGCATAACATTTGTAAGGTCTTCCTCAATTCTGTGATTCTATGTTTACTTACTACTTAGGATTTTTTGTTGTTGCCCTCTACCATGTGTCACTGAACACCTGGCTCATGCTGAGTGTGGTGAGCAGCTGCTACTTAGGTTACCAATGATCACCTTTTGGCATTCATGCCCTTGTGTGCTCTCCTTCCCACATGTGTGGGCTGAACCGAGTGACTTGCTTTTAATAAACAGAGTATGCCTAAAGTGATGAAATGTTACTTCTGATAGACTAAAAATGACTATGACACTTCCATATTGCTTGCCTTCTTTTGCTGTCTCACTTGCCCAACCACGAGTGGCCTCTGGCCAACAGTCCAGGAGTAACCAGATCCTGTCAAAAACCACTGGAGTGAGCTCGGAAGCAGATGCAGCCGACGTTGGCCTTAAGAGGGCTGCAGCCCTGATACCTTGATAGCCTTGTAGGAGATTCAGAGCAGGAGAGCCGAGCTGAGCCACGTCCAGATTTCCGACCCACGGAAACTGTGAGAGAAACCTTTACTGCTTTAAGCCAGTAAGTGCTGAGGTAATTTTTTACGCAGCAATAGATAACCAATACACTGAGGTAAAGAATATTGAGGAAGGGTGATGAATTATGTAGATTTCACCCAAATTTAGTATATCCCATTCAACAACAGGCTAGCCTTGATGTTTATCTCTCAGAGATCTTCTGCCAAGATCCACAACCTCCAAGTTTGCAAATTTCAATCAGATACAGGCATATCTTGTTTTATTGCTCTTGGCTTTATCGTGCTTTGCAGATATTGCATTTTTTCCCCCTAACTTGATAGTTTATTTTTCATGTACACCACCATCCAATGTGGGTGTTCAGCAGCCTTTTCACTTGGCATTTCAGGAACCCAGGTACCTTTTATCTCAGTGTTCTGCTGTCATAGATATTGCATTTTTTACAAGACCTTCCACCAGCAAAAAATTACAACTCACTGAAGGCTCAGATGATGGTTTGCATTTTTTGGCAATAAAGTATTTTTAAATTAAGGTAAGTACATTGTTTTTTTAGACATAATGCTGTTGTACAGTTAAAAGACTACAGTAGAAACTTAAGTTTTATATGCACTGGTAACCAACAAATTCACGTGACTTGCTTTATTGCAATATTTGCTTTACTGCAGAGGCCTGGAACTGAACCTGCAGTATCTCTGAGCTATGCCTGTACTAATCTACACAAACCATGACATTTCACCCAACACTGAGATGTAGGTCATTCAATACCAAATTTCTATCTTATCTACCTGGAAATCTCAAGTCTGGAAAATTGCAAATTCTTCTCAGGGATGGTAAAATATAACCAGTAACCACTGTCTCTATCTCACCAAACTACAGACCTGACTTGAGTAGCATAAATCTTTACTTCAAAGGACTTGTCACCTGACCGCTCCATCACTGCCTTTGGGAGAAGAAGGGGCACCTAAGATATGGTCCATAACTTTCCAGTGATAACATGAACACTAGTTAGTTTAGAACGGGCGACACAGAGAGGATGCTGGGTAATCTGGCATCACATTTCGCTGGAACAAGAGATGGGGAGCAGGTTATTTGAGGGCCCTCTCTTGGCAGTAAACTTTATAAAATTAATAAAAATACTCACATGACTAAAAAAACCCCACATATTTCAAGAAGGAAAGGAACATCGACTTACATGGGCCATAGTTTTAGACCTGCAGGAGCGGATCAGTCCTCAGGGCTCCTCTAACGGAAGCACAGATCCAGAAAGCAAGAGCTGGGAGAAGAGAAAGATCTTGAGACCAGTTCTGCTTTAGTGTCCCGACAGGACTTAAATTAATAACATCGTTAGGATCTTCCATTCCAGGTTCCAAACCATTTCCCAGCACACACAATTTGGGCCCACTAGGATTCTAGAGAAATCCACTTTCTCCCCCAAATCCCAGGGGTCTCTGCTAAGCAGTCAGAGAAGACAGGCATTTCTGTATTGAAGCCAGACCCAGGTTTGACAGCAGGGAGATTTCTGGCCACTGCGTCCTTTTGGTGAGGTAGATGGAGACCTGAGAATGGGCGGTGCAGTCACGGCCCGAGCAGATCCTCTTCCTTCTGTTAACACCTTCTAAGACTGCAAAGAGCCCAGACCCTCCTAACCAGGACCCCTTGTATGGCACTGGAATTGGCTGAAGCTGATTAAGACATGGGAGACGGACAGCCAGTGTTCGGCATTTTGAATCTAGGAAAGGTTACTAGTTAAATATATAACAAACCATCATCATACTACAATACAAAGCAGATATCAAATGTGAAGTTGGGGAAAAATATTTGAGGATATTCCAGATCAAACATTCATACTATCAATAGAGTAATTAGACTGAACTATGTATTTTTGAAAAATATATGAAAGTACCAATAGAGAAAGAGTGGCAGAGAAAAAGACCATTGAAATCAGTAGATAAAAAAGTCTGGAAGGTTATGATATAATAACAGTGTTTTTTATTTTGATCTTGGTTTTTCGTTTTTTTTTTTTTGGAGGAAGATTAGCCCTGAGCTAACATCTGCTGCCAATCCTCCTCTTTTTGCTGAGGAAGACTGGCCCTGAGCTCATATCCATGCCCATCTTCCTCTCCTTTATATGTGGGACGCCTACCACAGCATGGCTTTTGCCAAGTGGCGCCGTGTCCGCACCCGGGATCTGAATTGGTGAACCCTGGGCCGCCGAGAAGCGGAACATGTGCACTTAATGCTGTGCTACTGGGCCAGCTCCAAGCCAGTGAATCTTATTCTTCTGCATAATATGGGGATTTGCATTACAATTTTTATTTTCTGTTATAATAACTATCTTTAGAAATATTATTAGTACTTGCAAGACAACTGGAATAAGAAACTAGTGCTATTTCTTGAAAGTAACCTTAAGTCTCTAAATTATTAATTCTGAAAGGCTGTCTTATTAGTAATTTGGTGCCATGATACTTATATTTTAAATACCATTCCTAATATCTAAAAGGTGAAAATAGAATGTTTTTTAAACAAGGAGACCCCAGGTGCACCCTTCTCCCTAGCACACAGAGGTGCGAGGAAACCCATGACAGGGTTAGATTTCCTTTTCAAACTAAGGCCAGGATTCTTAGTCTCCTTTATTTGACTGATTATATTCTGTCAAAACAAAACCACACAGAAATGTTCACACATAAAAACTGGAAACATATACACCAAAACAGTAAAAGTGATTATTTCTAGGCAGGGGCATGAAAGAGTATTCTTATTTTCTCCTTCATAAGTTCCTTAGAAAATTAAATTTTTTGCAACAAGTCAGCATTAATTCCATCATTATAAATACAACATAAAGATATTTCAAAGTATTAAAAATCTTTAAAGCATCATGACAACAGAGGCTATATTTTCGTCATTTAAAAAAATCTGTAAACACTGGTTGAGCCTGGGTGGCCTAGTGGTTAAGTTCGCTGTGTTCTGCTTCAGCATCCAGGTTCAGTTCACGGGTGCAGACCTACACCACTTCTCAGTGGCCATGCTGTGGTGGTGGCTCACATACAAAACAGAGAAAGACTGGCACAGATGTTAGCTCAGGGCTAATCTTCCTCAGCAAAAAAAAAAAAAAAAAAAAGTCTGTAAACACTAGGCCTGCCTTGAAAACTCAATGTGATTGAAACAAATATCACTTACCTGTTCTTGAATATCTTTTAGCTGTACGATACGGGCATAATCAGACACATTTCACTATAAAGATTTTTCCATTAATACAAAGGAAAACAGCCATTGCAGATTAATGAGAATATGTACGCAAAATGGACAGAAAAGTTTTGAGTACACAGAAGGTGATTATAAATGTGACTACACACCTTCCATTCTTCTCTGAATAATCAAAATATCACTCTGAATACAACCCTTGCAAAAGGGTTTTATAAAATTTTATTTTTTTAAATGAACTCCATATATAATTTAACATTTTCTTCAGTACTATTCTCCACAGCTTTGAAGACAGTGTAACATTAGATCACAGCCATTTTTCCTTATAATGACTAATTCTCATAAACAGAATTTTTTTATTTTTTATTTTTTTGGTGAGGAATACTGGCCCTGAGCTAACAGCTGTTGCAAATCTTCCTCCTTTTGCTTGAGTAAGATTGTCCCTGAGCTAACATCTGTGCCAATCTTCCTCTATTTTGTATGTGGGACGCTGCCACAGCAGGGCTCGATGAGCAGTGTGTATGCAGGCGCCTGGGATCCGGGATGGAAGAGCAAACTCCAGCAACCAAAGCGGAGCTGCCAACTTAACCACTACGCCCCCGGGCTGGCCCCTAACAGAAATTTTATTATCTGTCTATTTTGTCATGGATGTCTGTGACTTTCTCACCATTCTCATTATCCCGACCACTAAATTTGTGCAAAATCATACCAACAATAATTTTTGACTCTAGATAAAAACTCAGGTCTCTTTTGAATTACTGAACCGCACCCAGCCCTTCCCTACACAGCCCGGGAGGCCGCGGGCCGCTTCGCACCCGCGCATAAGGTCCCAGGACCCCCGTGCGGGACGCCTCTGCCTCGGCCCCTCAGCCTGCAACCCCGCGGCTCCTCCACCGGAGAAACCCAACCGGAAGGAGCCCGACGCCACAGCGAGCACGACGTCCCACCCTCCATGGCCCTGTGACGGCGCGCAGCCACACGGAAGGGAGAAGAGCCTGGAATCCGGGTCAGACTCGCGGCAGTTCCCGCGCTCGGAGCTCAGGGAACGCGGTCGCTCTCAACCATGCACACGACCCCCGAGAAGTCCCAGGGGGCACAGTCCCTGGGAGGAAGCCTGTTCTTGGAGTCTCCACCCAGATGCCCCCAGGAGCCCGCGGCGGGGACAATTCCTGATCTGCACGCCCGTCCTTTCGGGTCTGCACCTTCTCACCTAGACCTTTCCTCGGGCTCAGTGTTCCCCACGTGCGGCCACATCTCCGCGACAGCCGAGTGGGGCTGAGAGGAGGGCAGAGGAGGCGGGGACCGAGAGGCGCGCGCCACCCGACCCCACAGAGCCCCGCAGCCCCCGCGACCCCGTCACCCAGGACGCCGCGCCCCCTCGCTCGGACCCCCGCGGCTCCTCACCCGCTCCCGTCCCGCGGGCTTCGGGCTGCGCCGCCGCGCCCTTCCCGCGCCACCCGCGCCCGTCTCCTCCTCACGCGGGGCCGCTCACGCGCGGCGCGCACCGGGACGGAAAGGCGCACGAGGCGACGTCCCTGTGCTCGTGGAGGCGGGTCCGAGGTCGCCACCGTCTCGGGGAAGCGCCGCCAGTCGGCCCCGGAGGCTTCTGGGAGGGCCGGACTGGGCTGCGCAGGCGCAGATCCCGCACTGCTGGCGGCCCACCTGAGGCCGGTGGCCTCAGACTTCCGGGTGCCGGAGGCGCGTCCGTGTGGGAGGGGCTGCGGGGGCTTGCCTTCCGAGGCCGCAGGCCTGTGTGTGCGGGGCCGCCCTGTGGGATCAGCGATGTGACCATCGCGTGTTTGGCTGGGTGCGAGCTCCCGAACGTGGGACGCGGGGTGTGTTACGTCCTCTGAGATAACGAGGACCTGTATAGTAACATATGGGAATGATAACTTTAATACCCCCGAAGAGGCCTAGCTTGTCCAATAGGGTCTTAATTGACCAACATCGTACACGAGTGAAGTTACATTATATTCTTCATTACATTACATTCTTCACATTGGACACATTAAAGATTGACTGTTTATCCTGCAAGTGTATAGGAAATAGAAAGCTAATACGGCAATGTATTAATGTATTTTTCACGTCCTGTTAAGACAACTTTTGTATGTTTAAAATTTCGCATACTAAAAAGTACAGGAAGATTGCAAAATGGGTATCCTTTTGTTAATTTCTAATCAATTTTGAATTGCAGATAAAGAAAGTAAATTACTGAGTATGTAAAACATTTTTACACTTTGTAAATGTATAAATCTAAATTTCATTCAAGGATTAAGTGTTTGATTCACCTTAAGAGCCGAATGAAGCTGTTCTCATGTTTTTTACATTCAAGCATTTGTCCAGAATTAACTCAAATTCAAAAAGGGATAAGTAGTTACATGAAACTTTTCTAAATTCATTAAATCCATAGTCTTTATATGAGGAAAAACCTCAGGTCAGTCTCCCCAAGTAGGAAAAAACCCAGTTCTCTCTCCTGTGTCTCTGCCGGGTGCCTCCTTTACTTCTCACACAGAACACTCACAACACTTTTCGTCACCAAATGTGTAGAGGTTTTTCCCACAAGCAGTTCTCTGCAACAACAGCTGGGTGTCCTACCTGGAGACAGTGCCAGATCCACAGGTAAAGGGCTCAGTCCCACGAGACTGCTCCTGCCGTACTTCAGATGCCAATGGCAAGTAGTGGGTCCCCAGATTACCCACAATTCTGTCTGAATTGGCTACAAATCAGAGGTTCCCATGACCTGAGGTTCAATTAATTTGGTAGAGGAGCTGACAGTACTCCGGGAAACACTTACTCACGTTTACTAGTTTATTAAAGGTTATGGTAAAGGATACAGATAGATAGCCAGATGAAGAGATATATACGATGAGGTCTGGGAGGGTACCAAGCACAGCAGCTTCTGTCCCTGTGAAGCTGGGGGTGTGTCACCCCCCACCGCTGTGTGTGAATATGTTTGCCAATCTGGAAGCTCTCCAAATCCCTACTATTAGGATTTTATGGAGGCTTCCTTACCATACATGATCAATTATTCACTCCATGGCCAGACCATCTCCCCTCTCCAGAGAAGTGGTCATGTGGGGGTCAGAACTGAAAATTCCAAGCTTCTAATCATGGCTTGGTCTGTCTAGGAACCAGTCCCCATCCAAGAGCTATCTAGGAGCCCACCCAGAGTGCCTCAATGGAACAAAAGATGGTCCCAGTGCCCTTACCACTTAGGAAATTACAAGGCTTTGAGGAGAACTGTGTCAGGCAAGTACAATGGTGGTTGCCAGGAGCTGAGAAAATGGGGGATGTTGGTCAAAACATAAACATTCACTTGTAAGGTTAATAAGTTCTGGGGAACTAACGTACAGCATCATGACTGTAGTTAGTAATTCTGCAGAGTTTAAATTGGCTGAGATCTAAAATGTTCTCACTGCAGACACCTACACACACAAACATGGTAACTGAGATGATAAACGTTAACTTGTAATCATTTCACAATATAGCAAATCACGACATTGTACATCTTAATTTTTTTAATATTTTTATTGACATATACAGAAAAGTGCACAAAATTATACAGACCCAGTAAACTCTCACCTTCACCCAGAGTAAGAAATAGAAAAACACCCACAAGCCTCATAATCTCTCCATCATTATTCCTCCTCCCAGAGTGGCAGCCACTATTGCAACCTCTGCCAACAGAGATTAGTGAATATACCACCATTTTCCATCCATTATGCTGCCACAAACATCCTTGCTCACGTCCTGGTGAACAAATGTATGCACTTCTGCTCAGTAAATACCAAGTGAAATTTTTGTGTCATTGGGTATCTGGATGCTCACCTTTAGTGGACACAGCAAGACTGCCTAAGTAGTACAAAGTTATATTGCCAGCAACACAACTGCTCCACAGTCTTGCTGTAACCACTGGTGTTTTAAGATCTTTAGCCATTTAGCTAGGTGTGTGGGGCTATTACACTGTGGTTTCAACTTTCATTTCCCTGATAACTCACCAGGGCGAGCACCTTCTCACGTTTTTGGGCCATCCGGATATCCCTCTTGTGAAGTGCAGTTCATGTCTTTCCCCCATTTTTCTATTGGTTGTCTTTTTCTTATTGATTTGGAGAAGTTCATTATATATTCTGGACAGATGGCCTTTGTCAGATATATGCACTGCAAATATCTTTTCCCACTGTGGGTTTCCTTTTCACCCTCTTGCACATTGTCTTTTGACAAATATAAATTCCATGTGACCAAATTTATCAAATTTCTTCCTCAATGGCATTGTGCTTTTAATATTCTGTTTAAAAAATTATTACCTACTCCCAATGTCATAAAGATATTCTATTTTTTCCTACAACTTTATTGTTTATCCCTCAGACTTAGTTCTTCAATCATTATGAATGAGGGGTGTATGTTATGTTGGGGAGGGGTGGTGAAGAAGGCATCAAGACTTTTTTTTCCATACATTGATTCAATTCCCCCCACACTAACTTTGGGAAAGATTCTTCTACCCCCAAGTTATAACAAAGTGTTACCTTTGTCAGACATGCGTGGGCTTTTTCTGGACTCTTCGGTTCCACTGATCCATTTGCCTATCCTTGAGCAAGGCCACACTGGATAACTACCGTAGTTTCACAGTGAGTCTTGATGCCTGCTAGGAAAAGTCGTCCAGCTTTGTTCTTGCTGCTGTTCCTCGCTCTTCCTCCTTCCCCAAGCTCTCTTTACCTGTTCTTGGTCTTTCACAATTTCAAGTAGATTTTAGAATCAGTTTGTCAGCTACACATACACACACGACCCCCAAATTACTGATTTGGGGGGAGCAGTGCGCATTAAATACATAGCTCAGATTGCAGGGAATTGAAATTATTTCAATAGTGAGTCTTACAATCCACAAACATGGCATATATCCTTTCACTTATTTAGGTGTACCTTATCTCAATCAAGTCCATCATTTCCTACGTGGAGGTTTTGCATGCCTTTTGTTAGATTACTGGTATTGGATGTTTTTTCGTAAACAGTAACAAAAATATTTAAAATTGTTGCTGGTACATATATGTACAATTTCTAAAATATTACTAGCCAGCAACCTAATTTCACACATTAATTCCAATAAGTTGCCCAAAATTCTTTTAGATATTCTATGTACACAATAATGACTACTTCATTTCTTCCTTTCCAACCTTCAGGTCTTTTTCTACTTTCCTTTAGCACCAGCTAAACTCTCCAACGCAATGTTAAGTAGTAGTGGTAATTATGGATAGCATGTCTCATTCCAAATCTCAGGGAAAGTTTCTAATATGTCATCATTAAGGTCTTTTGTAAATACTCTTTAACAGATAAGATCCTCTTTACTCCTAGGACATCATCTCAAAATTCTAATCTTTTAAAATGTGTTCAAACTCATGGTTCAACCATATGACTGATTTTTATGTTCCATATGCGTGGGAAAACTGCATGTTCCTGTCATTACTGGTATGATATTCTATGTATGTCAAGTTTGTTAATCATATTCTTCAGATCTTCTCATTACTGAGGTTTTTTGTCTGCTTGTCCTCTCATATAGTAAGGGAGGTGGGTTAAAATCTTCCACTATAACTGCCAATTTTTCTATTTCTCCTGTCAGAGTTAATTTTTATTTCATATATTTGTAAGTTATGTTATCAGATTTACACAATTTTAAATTGTTGTACATTTCTGGTGAGTTCACCTTTTTTTCCCCAAAGGTTTTATCTTTCCTTTTTCTCCCCAAAGCCCCCTGGTACATAGTTGTATATTTTTAGTTGTGGGGCCTTCTAGTTGTGGCATGTGGGATACCACCTCAGCATGGCTTGATGAGCAGCATCACGTCCGCACCCAGGATTCGAACTGGTGAAACCCTGGGTTACTGAAGAGGAGCGCGTGAACTTAACCACTCGGTTCACCTTTTTATCACTATGTCCCTCTTTATCTCTAGTTATTCTTATTTTCTTAATTAGCGCTTTCTTTTCGTTAGTGCTTACATGGTGTGTGTAAACAGTGAACACGTCAGCCTTGGTTTGCCCAAACCCTGCACATTGCAAGAAAGGACTGAACCTTAACCAGCTTCTAGGAGGTAACCTCTGAGCCCTTAGAATATCCTGCCTAAAAATAGAGCTTGTGTATGCCCGAGACCTTGGGCCATGCTGTATCAGTTTGACCAGAGTTATGAACTTAAATGTGTTTCCCCAAAATTCACATGTTGAAATTCTGACCCCCAGGACCTCAGAATGTATTTGGAGATAGGGCTTTAAAGAGGTAATCAAGCTAAAATGAGGTCATTTGGGTGGACCCTAATCCAGTCTTTCTAATGTCCCTATAAGGGGATCAGGACATACAGAGACACGAGATGCACAGGCACAGAGAAAAGGCCATGTGAGGACGGAACGAGAAGGCAGCCACCTGTAAGCCAAGGAGAGAGGCCTCAGAAGAAGCTAAACCTGCTGACATCTTGATTTTCCAGTCTCCAGAACTATGAGAAAATAAATTTTGGCTGTTTCACCTACCCAGTCTGTGCTATTCTGTTGTCGTTGACTTGAAATACACACAACATAAAACTTACCATCTTAACCATTTTCAAGTACACAGTTCAGTGGTATTAAATACATTGACACTGTTGCGCAGCCATCACCACCATCATCCCCATAACTCTTTTCATTTTGTAACACTGGGACTCTGTACCTATTAAACAATAACACCCCATTCCCTCCCTCCCTCCAGCCACTGGCAACCACCATTACAAGTTCTAGCTATGACTCTGACTACTCTAAGTACCTCATGTAAACTGAATCATACATGTATTTGCCTTTCATGACAGCTGATTTCATTTACAGTAATATGTCCTCAAGGTTCATCCAGGCTGCAGCACACTTCAGAATTTCCTTTTTCGTTTTCTAGTGTCCAAGATTTTTGTAATTAAAGGAACAAAGGTATCCCCCATTCTTTTTTGGTAAGGATCCAATCCCTCCCTTTTTTTTTCCCCAGTAATTTTACTGAGATCATAATGATTTATAACTGTGTAATTTCGGGTGTACATTATTATTTATCAATTTCTAATAGACGTCATTGTGCTCACCAACAGTAGTCTAATTTTTCTCCTTAACTGTGCATATGTGACCCTTTACCCCTTCTGCCCACTTCCCAACCCTCTTCCCCTCAGGTAACCACTAATTTGTTGTGTTTATCATGTATTTGTTATCTTCCACATATGAGTGAAATGATGCTGTATCTGTCTTTCTCTGTCTGGCTTATTTCGCTTAACATCATACCTACAAGGTCCATCCATGTTGTCATAAATGGGACAAGTTTGTCTTTTTCTATGGCTTAGCAGTATTCCGTTGTGTGTGTGTGTGTATATATATATACACACACCACATCTTCTTTATCCTTTCATCCATAGAAGGGCACTTGGGTGGCTTCCACATCTTGGCTATTGTGAATAATGCTGCAATGAACATAAGGGTGCATAAATCTCTTTGGATCACTAATGTCAAGTTCTTTGGATAAATACCCAGTAGTTGGACAGCTAGGTTGTATGGTATTTCTATTTTGAATTTTTTGAGAAATCTCCATACTGTTTTCCATAATGGCTGCACCAGTTTTCATTCCGACCAGCAGTGTATGAGGGTGCCCTTTTAGCCACATTCACTCCAATATTTGTTGTTTTTTGTTTTGGTAATTACAGCCATCTGATAGACCTCATGGGGAAGGGTTGGCATCTTGCCACTGCAGCACAAAGTGTGTTGTGTGCAGCTCATCATCCCTGTCAGATGTGGAGTTGACTTCCTGGCCGTAGCTTATGGACACACTAAGGAACTAGATCTTGTGCATTCGATCTCCTCTTTTGCTGTAAGTAAACGTTGTACCACTTGATCCTGGCGTGTATGTTCTCTGTTCTTCATTGTCGGTGTTGCAATGCAAGGTACACATCAGGATAGATGTGGAGAGGGCTGATGGCCACTCTGAGTTTATTATAACCAGCGTTTCAATATATACACAGCTTACAGCTGTTAAACATACACAGGTGTTCTGGATGAAGTAATTAGCGAATGCCAAGAATTCTTAGTGATTTCTCAAGGAGTCCTCCCTTGGCCTCTGTTTTGATATTATCATGTTATTGCTGTGCTCGTATATCTCGGAGCAGGCAAGGTCTCTTAGGCAACGGTCCCTCCTGCTCCCGATATCGATATCGTTTCTCCGTCTGTGCCCCCGGGCCTGTCTTAGGTTGCCTCCCCCTGGAGGTCTTACCCATCATTGGCTAACTGGCCTTCTCACCTCCGGGTCACAGTTTGTTGGCAAGCCTTTTCCAGTGATTATTACCCCTTCCTGCGTCAGGGGTGGCTACATTCATGACTTCAAATCATGCACTGGTCTCTTCCATGAGTGGCACTTACCTGCCTGTGACCTTGGCCACACAGCCTGGACAGCCAGTCAATAGTGAAACATAGAGGAATGTCATAAAAGACTTTCTTATATAAATACAAAACAAAATTCTCTGAATGTGAACAATATGTGGGTCATAAGTGAAAAACATCAAACATTATTTAAATTCCAAGGAGTTCATGCCTGTATAAATTATTTGATGCCTTATAAGCCTTTTGGAAAATGCCTTCTCACATCCTCTTCATTTAAATTGTTTCTCAGTGGTATAATTCCATTGTCTACTCATACATATATTCCATGAGGTCTCTCCCCAGTGTGAATTCTCTGATGTGCTTTAAGCATTGAACTAAGCCTAAAGGACTTCCCACATCTATTACACGCAAAGGGCTTCTCACCAGTATGAATACTCTGATGTACTTTGAGGCCGGAACTGAGCCTAAATGACTTCCCGCATTTGTTACATTCAAAGGGTTTCTTACCACTATGAATACTCTGATGCTGAGTAAGTCGTCCATACACACTAAAGGCCTTCCCACATTCCTTACATTCATAGGGTTTCTCACCAGTATGAATTGTCTTATGGTGTAAAAGGTTTGAGGCTTGACCAAAGGCCTTCCCACATTCTTTACATACATGGGATTTCTCACCAGTATGAACTCTTACATGTTGAGCAAGGTTTGAAGCAGAAATAAAGGTCTTCCAACATTCTTCACATCGATAGGGTTTCTCACCAGTATGAATTCTGTTATGTACTTTGAGGTCTGAAAGACGAAGAAAGGCCTTGCCACATTCCTTACAATCATGTGGTTTCTCACCAGTATGGATTGTCTGATGTACTCTAAGGTCTGAACGACGACTACAGGCCTTCCCACATTCCTTACATTCATAGAGTTTCTCTCCATTATTAATTCTATGTTGTAGATTTAGAGATGAATGTTTTATACACATGTACATTCTTCCAGAGCTGATTATTTCATATCTTGATTCCAAATCTAAAACAAATAAGAAAATGTTTCCTTGACCAGAAAATGTCCTATAATTGATTAAGACAAAATTGAAAATTTCTACAATTAGAGGTGATTTAAAGAACTCTAAAATACAGTCATAAATCTTGAAAACATACAAGGAGAGTTCAGAGAATAAGTTTCTGCAGTAGAGTGCTGGTAAAGGTTTTAACAACCTCTCTATACACACAGACACACACACACACACAGCACATCCAGCCTTGATCTGTGTCGTGTTAGCCCATGTCGATGGTGTAAATACTCCCACGACAGGCAATTTCAAGCTATCAATATAGTGTAAACAAACCCAGACTTAGGACATGTAAAATCTTGTCCCTAGACAGCCAGTACCAGCCAGCTCTAACATACTACTTCCATCTAAAACACATATTAAATTTAAAAAGGCAATTATTTATACCTGATCACTCTTCAATTACAATTCCCCTAAAAAGAAACATTTCCACCACTGTGGTCCACTTCCTCAGATGCACAGCCATCTGCGCTTTGCTTTGCTCTTTATAACAGTTAAGATACTGAGAATCTTTACCTATTTAGCCTCTCCTAAGATTTTATTATTTACTATGCTTACAGCTATTCAATCTTTTTATTCCTTATATCTTTTCTCAGGTCCCACTCTACCTTTCCCTTTTAACCAAGGCCAACCATTCTGGTAATCCCCAGAAGAGTATGTTAATCAATTTTCTAACACATACCAGGTCTTACGGTATTTTGACCATTTAGGAACATGAGGCAAAAGAGGGAACCTGAATTATACAACAGTGTAGAGGAAGAGTGCCAAGATTTATACGGAAAAGAACTGTCAGTTGTGAGTTGAAGGATAAAAGTCTTATGAAGCAATAACTTGAGCAAAATCGAAAGCGCTTAATGAGGAGGCTATGACTTGGGGGCAAAAAATATCCTCTTATGACTAGAGTATGGTCTATGTACCAAAAGTTGAAATAATATTAACAACACTCTTCAAAATAGAGTAACAATCGAAATCAATAACAAATATTAGAAAACCAAAAGACCTTCCATGTGGAAATGGTAATGTCCTCTCCAAAAATGCTGGATCACTATAGAAAAAAAAACCCTGAGATATAAGAATCCTAGTAAATGACTATGCAGAAAATAAGCACATATCAGAATCTTGGGTAAGCAATTTCACCACTCAGAGAACTTAAAACTCAAAGGACTATTTCTATAAAAGAAAATGAGTTGAGGATCAATGTCAAATATGTAGAAAATAAACAACAAAGTAGAGGAAAGCAGGATATAATGAGTGAGAAGACAGTAGCATAACAAATCAATCAAAGAGCTGGGGTTTTGAAAACCTATTACAGGAAATATTAGGTAAACCAACCAAAAAAGAGACTAAAAACAAGTAAAAATTTTTCTAGAAGAAAATAAGAACCAGAGAGGAATTTATTTAAATTGCAAGAGTACTACGTGAACACTTTTGAAAGAATGGACAACTTTCTTAAAAAATTTATCAAAATTGACCACAGAAGAGAAGCCTAAACCAACTGGATGGCGGCAAAAATCTTCCAGAAAAGACAGCTGTAGTAAACACACTTTAATATCTAGATTGTAGTTTCTCAATATGCACAGCTAAAATACAGGCACAGAATAGTTGGACAAAGGGAAAATGTAGAAAGAGAGCAGGAAAAGCGAGCCTAGAAATCTTATTCCAAAAAGAGGAAGACTCCAAAAACTGAGAGCTATGACGGACCAAAACTGTAAAAAATAGCATAAAAATGATTATGATGCATACATATAAACCAGGCAACAAAAAGCGATGAATCAGCAATGATACAAGAGAAAAACAATGACTTTGAACCATTAAATAACTCCTGAATTGCAGGAGGTCTAGTTCCAGCACGGTGGCACTAAGTCCCTCCAGCCTAGACTGGCCCCCCTCTGACTGATTTCAACTATAAACACTTGACAAAATACAAAACTTAACCACATAAGGACTGTAAATAAAAGCAGGAGGGTTTGGGAAAGGAGTCAAAACTTTACCAAGCAACCCAGACTGAGCTGAGTTTCTTGCTGCTGATATTTTTTTTTTTTTGGGGGGAAGATTAGCCCTGAGCTAACTACTGCCAGTCCTCCTCTTTTTTGCTGAGGAAGCCTGGCCCTGAGCTAACATCTGTGCCCATCTTCCTCAACTTTATATGTGGGATGCCTACCACAGCATGGCGTGCCAAGCAGTGCCATGTCCACACCCGGGATCCGAGCCGGCGAACCCCGGGCCGCCAAGAAGCGGAACGTGCGAACTTAACTGCTGTGCCACCAGGCCGGCCCCTAAAGGAAGTTCTTAAGCAGAACTTAAGAGTTTGAAGCAAAACACATAATGCATATAGAGAGGTATCAGAGAGGATGGACTCAGGAGACGAGTTAATAAGTAAATTGTAGCAGGAGGTGGTTAAAAAGTCTACATAAGGCTGTCACTTCTCAGTCTGCTTCTGGAACTTCCAGTTAGCAGGGCAGGCAGCTGGACAAGAAAGTTGGACGTGAAGTGAGGGAAGCAAGAACAAAGGAGAATCTTAGAAAAACATGGACTGGAACTGGCGCTGACATCCTGTGTCCTCCAATCCTCCCAATTGGACGATAGGGGAATTCTGCAGGAGAGGCTAGCGCCTTTGTCATGGAGCTAAAGACTTCACATGTCCCAAGGGGTACAGAAGCTGAAGGAGGAGCTCTGGCAGGGACTGGGGAAGCCAGGTTCAGCTGCTGCCGCCTGCCAACATGGTTACCAAGCGGTTAAGTGACCACACATGTGAGCTCCAAGACAATGTCCTGGGGCCCACTGACAGGCCAAACAGAAGAACATGGTTTCTGCTTGGTTTTTACCTTGCCAATGTCACCAAAATGACTCTAGTGGTCCAGGGTAACCCAGAATTATACAGAAAAGGAAATACAGAGAAATGTTTCAGTTGAGCTACTTTGACAAGAAAAGTCCACTACAAGAGTGGCCAAGTTCCTCCTTAAATGGCAGAGGAAGGTTTCCAAAGGCTTAGAGAGACTGGAACAGCTTAAGTAAACCAAAGTGAATTTATCACATGTAGAAACAAGCTAAAAAAATATGACAACCATACCACACCCTATTTGTGTTTTTGACCCTAAAATGTGTTTCTTACAGTTGGATCATGTTTTTTATTTTTAATCCATTTTGCCAATGTTGGTCTTTTAAATGGAGTGTGTCCTCAGTTTAAGTTTAATGTGATTACTGATAGAACTTATGCCTGAAATTTTGATAATTATTTTCTATATGTTTTAGGCCTTCCCCCACCCCCCATTTCTTAATTATTGCCTTCTTTGTTGTTAAATAGAGATGTTCTAGGGTATCACTTGATTTCCCTTATTGTTTCCTTTGCTATATAATTTTTTAAGTTATTTTCTTAATGGTTTCCTGGGAATTACGATTAATACCTTAACCTATAATTGACAAACCCTTAGCCATACTCCCTAAGAAAAAAAGAGAGATGACTCAAATAAATAAGATCAGAATTGAAAGAGGAGAAATTACAACAGATACCACAGAAATACAAAAGGTTTAAGAGAATATTATGAAAATCTATATGCCAACAAACTGGACAATCCAGAAGAAATGGATAAATTCCTAGACTCTTACAACCTCCCAAAATTGAATCAAGAAGAAATAGAATCTGAATAGACCAATCACAAGTAAAGAGATTGAAACTGTACTAAAAAACCTCTCAAAAAATAAAAGTCCAGGACTAGATACCTTCTCTGGAGAATTCTACCAAACATTCAAAGAAGGTTTATTACCTATTCTTTACAAACTACTCCAAAAAATTGAGGGAGTTGGAAAATTCCTAACACATTCTATGAGGCCAACATCACCCTGATACCAAAGCTAGACAAGGACAACACAAAGAAGGAAAATTACAAGACAGTATTGCCGATGAACACAGATGCAAAAATCCTCAACCAAATATTGGCAAACCGAATACAGCAATACATTAAAAAGATCATACACCATGATCAAGTGGGATTCACACCAGGGACACAGGGATGGTTCAACATTCACAAATCAATCAATCTGATACACCACATTAACAAAATGAGGAACAAAACCCATATGATAATCTCAACAGATGCAGAGAAAGCATTTGACAAGATCCAACATCCATTCATGATAAAAACTCTCAATAAAATGGGTATAGAAGGAAAGTACCTCAAAATCATCAAGGCCATATATGACAAACCCACAGCCAGCATCATACTCAATGGGGAAAAACTGAAAGCCATCCCTCTGAGAACAGGAACAAGACAAGGGTGCCCACTCTCACCACTCTTATTCAACACAGTACTAGAGGTTTTGGCCAGAGCAACTAAGCAAGAAACAGAAACAAAAGGAATCCTAATAGGCAATGAAGAAGTGAAACTCTCATTGTTTGCAGATGACAGACATGAATTTATATATAGAAAACCCTAAAGAATCCATCAGAAAACTTTTAGAAATAATCAGCAACTACAGCAAAGTGGCAGGGTACAAAGCCAACTCCCAAAAATTAGTGGCATTTCTATACTCCAATAACAAACTAACAGAAAGAGAACTCAAGAATACGATCCCATTTACAATCGCAAAATAAGAATAAAATATCTAGGAATAAATTTAACCAAGGAGGTGAAAGACCCATACAAGGACAACTATAAGACATTACTGAAAGAAACTGATAATGACATAAGGAAAGATATTCCATGCACATGGACTGGAAGAATAAACATAGTTAAAATGTCCATATTACCTAAAGTTATCTACAGATTCAATACACTCCCAAACAGAATCCCAATGACATTCTTCACAGAAATAGAACAAAGAATCCTAAAATTCACATGGGGCAAAAAAAGACCCCAAATAGTCAAAGCAATCCTGAGAAACAACAACAAAGCTGGTGGCATTGCAATCCCTAACTTCAAAATGTACTACAAAACTATAGTAATGGTCCTGGTACAAAAACAGGCACACAGATCAATGGAACAGAAGTGAAAGCCCAGTAATAAAATGACACACCTACGGACAGCTAATCTTCAACAAAGGAGCCACAACCATACAACGGAGAAAGGAAAGCCTCTTCAATAAATGGTGCTGGGAAAGGTGGAGAGTCACATGCAGAAGAATGAAAGCAGACCATTATCTTTCTCCATACACAAAAACAGACTCAAAATGGACCAACAACTTGAAGACCTGAAACCTTAAAACTTCTAGAAGAAAATACAGGCAGTACATTCTTTGACATCAGCCTTAAAAGGATCTTTTTGAATACTATGTCTACTTGGACAAGGGAAACAAAAAATAAACAAGTGGCACTTCATTAGACTAAAGAGCTTCTGGAAGGCAAAGGAAACCAGGATCAAAATGAAAAAACAACCCACCGACTAGGAGAAAATATTTGCAAATCATATATCTGACAAGGGGTTAATCTGCATAATATATAAAGAACTCACACAACTGAACTAAAAAAACACAAACAACCCGATCAAAAAGTGGGCAGGGGATACAAACAGACATTTTTCCAAAGAAGATGCACAGACGGCCAATAGGCATATGAAAAGATGTTCAACACTACTAATCATCAGGGAAATGCAAATCAAAACCACAGTAAGATATCACCTTATACCCGTTAGAACGGCAAAAAATAACAAACGTCGGAGAAGTTGTGGAGAAAAGGGAACCCTCATACAGTGCTGGTAGGAATGAAAACTGTTGGAGCGATTATGGAAAACAGTATGGAGATTTCTCAAAAAATTAAAAATGGAAATACCATACGACCCAGCTATCCCACTACTGGGTATTTATCCAAAGAAGTTGAAAACAAGGAGACTTATGCACCCCTATGTTCACTGCAGCATTATTCACAATAGCCAAGATGTGGAAGCAACCCAAGTGCCCATCGACTGATGATTGGATAAAGAGGATTGAATAAATACTACTCAGCCATAAAAAAGATACAATTGTCCCATTTGCAAACACATGGATGATCTTGAGGGTATTATGTTAAGCGAAATAAGCCAGAAAGAGAAACACTGTATGATTTCACTCACTTGTGGAAGATAAACAAACTGACAGACAAAGAGAACAATTTGGTGGTTACCAGAGGGAAGTGGGGTGGGCACACGGGGTGAAAGGGCACATTTATATGGTGTCTGACAAACAATAATGCACAACTGAAATTTCACATTATAAAAAATTTATTATATAAATTTTAAAAATAATTATATAAAAAAGAAATATTTGGATATGAAAATGAGTAATAAACCTATAGTTGTTTTATCTAGGCTTCTGTATGAGTTTTATAAGTAATGAAAAGGATGAAGATAAAAAACTGCAATCAGATTAGGGATCCTAATTACTCCTAGAAAACAATTCTTTTTTTTTTTTTTAAAGATTTTACTTTTTTCCTTTTTCTCCCCAAAGCCCTCCAGTACATAGTTGTATATTCTTCATTGTGGGTCCTTCTAGTTGTGGCATGTGGGACGCTGCCTCAGCGTGGTTTGATGAGCAGTGCGATGTCTGCGCCCATGATTCGAACCAACAAAACACTGTGCTGCCTGCAGCGGAGCACGCGAACTTAACCACTCCGCCACGGGGCCAGCCCCAAGAAAACAATTCCAATTCTTAATAATGAACCACAATACGTTACACGATCTTATCCTTCCTAACGTTCTAGTTTCACATCCTGTCAGTCACCACTCACTAACTCTGATCAACCTGCCACTCCTCAAACACACAAACCTCATCCCCCCTTGAGGGCCGTAGCACGTGTGGTTCACTCTCCTTGGAATGTTCTCGCTCACATACTCAAAATGCCTGAGGCCTTACTTCACATCTCTGCACAAACGTCACCTTCTCAGAAAAGGGTTCCTGACCCTGCGACCTCACCTAAATGTGCTGTGTTCTTGGTTAGGGTCCTTCATAACGTATTTCACTGCCTGATATTACTTATCTATTTATTTGTTGTCCCTAACACAGTATGATCCCATCACTGCAGAAACATTCTCTGCCCTACTTACTATTCCTGGACTGACGGTGCCACGTGCAGGGCCAAACTCAGAGGATTCCAATATTTGCCAGATACAGGAATTAATGTAATTTTAGACAATGGAGTCACACCGAAAAAGAGGATCTGGAAAGAATTTCGGTCCAAACTATGTACAGGCAAAATGGCTACACTGCGGAAGAAGGAGAGTGTCGAGCACTAAACTGGGAGGGAAATACGAGAAAAGTAACACGACGAATGGTTAATGAGGTTAAGATGAAGTTCACTGGGTGTCTCATTCTGAGATATTTCCTTCCCCCATCACAAGCCTGTTCTTCACAGAGAAGGGAGCTTCCCAAGCAGGGTTCGCAGGATGTGTTTACCAAGTGTGTCCCCCACTTGGGCCATCACTACACAGAGGACTTCTCCTGCCTGACTTGCTCTCACTTACCTGGACACCATCTTCTTGTTTCTTCCCTTACAACCATCCAGGGCTCCTTTCCTTGCTCCAATAAGGTAATTACACCTGGCTTAGAAATGGCATGACCTGCTTACAGAGAAAAAAAAAGCCACAGGATAGAGAAATAGTCACTAGTCAAGACTTAAAATTATAATTACTATAATCAAAAGATCATAATGATATTCAATATTTGAGAGAAAAATGAGAGAAGTAAAGAATAAGAGATCAGTTTTTGTTATACTGTTTGTTTAAAATTTAAACTCACATGGTCTTTAACACTAGAGAACAAGCATAAAGATAGTGAAAACACACTCTGGAGCCTGGGATCAATTCCTGTTTGTTGCCTTCCAGTTGGGTACGACCTTGGGCAGTTCACTTAAACCCACTGCAGCTTAGTATTCTCATTTATAAAATGGGGGTGATAGTAGCACTGTTGGGGGGATTAAATCAGTTAATACTCCCAGTTAGTTTAATCAGATCACATAATGTGCTTGGAGTACTGACTACTACACAGCAGTCACAGTGTTAGCTATTAACATTATCAATGACATGCTCTGAAGTTCCTAGAGTATACAAGAAGAGACAGCTATCGGACATTCATTTCATTTTAACTGTAATTTTCATGGATCATGACTCAAAACCACACATCAGACCAATTTTGTCTTAGGAAACAGATTGCTTTTGGCGCAGTTTTAAATGAATTCCAAATATCCAGTCCACCACTATATGAATTACAGAGGCTCTTCTGATAATGAGAGCAACTCTGGACCCACTCTCAACCTGATATCCCTAGAACTGGACCAGACAATAAAATGCTGTATTACAGCAATGTGGAGCACAAACAAACGAGAAACCTGGATCCTGTGACAACAGTTTGACAACACATGCCGCAGACTGCTAATGGAGCTGCTTGGTCAGTAGGGAAGAGAGGCAAATACAAAGACAGAACAGAGGGAGCTAAGAATGTTACTGAGGGACAGGGAAGATGGAGATGTTTAATGGAGTTGCCATTTCTAACCCTGACATAGCTCGAACCATTTTTTTGGGAGGAGGGAAAACAAATTTAGCTAGTTTCTTGAAAAGCCACCCTGAAAATCACAGTGGAAAAAACACATAGCCGATACAACAGATTCTAAATTAATCTAAATTATCTGAGGCGGATAAACATACCCAGTGAGAGCAGGTTTCTATAGTTCTCCATCATCACGTCCTGGTACAAAGTCTTCTGAACAGGGTTGAGACCTTCCCACTCCTGCTGAGAGAAGGCTATGGCCACATCGCTGAACGTCAATGATCCCTGAAACAGCAAATACATGCATTACTGGGGAAACTGAAGAAAACATTTTAAAAGTGGGAGCAGAGGAGATGAAGGACTTCTATGCAGGAAAAGAGCAATCTGGAAAACCTGTAGGCTGGAAATCTATGATGTAGGAGGAGACTGAAGCAGAATGCATATATAATTTTAAAGAAGCCTGCTGGTATAGGCAAAACATTTTCCATACTCTGGGATACTTCTAAATATTGAAAACTTTTGGAAAAAGACAAAATAATAATGCTTCCCTACTAAATAAATAAGTGTATACAAGAATAATGTAGAAATGCTACCTGCCTCATAAATTCTCAATAAATGTGGGTTATTGAGGAATACTTTTCTTTGAAGGGAAGAGAGACATTTAACCATGGGATGTTTTTATCCAAACTTTAGAAAATTGCATAAAATTAAGACTTTCTTCAAGCATCAACTTCTTTACTATATCAAATCTTACCATCAACATTTGACTCACTTCAATAGATCCATGTATTTTTTGGCACGTGACATTAAATTTTATGGATGTATCATATTTAATAATTTATACAGTTAGATGCACAATTTGGAAAGTCTTGCCCAATTTTCTGTTTTCACCTACTACATATGCTATTCAGTTCTGTTGCCATTTACCATTTCTCACTAAACGCTTCCTTTATTCTGACTGTGGGAGGTAACTTCATTGGTTACCAATGATCGCCACCTCCTGGTATATACGTCTTCAGGAAATCCTCTCCGTTTCAATGTGGGCTGAACCTAGCAAGAGTAATTTGTTCCTAACAAACAGAAAACAGTAAACGTGATGGAATGTCACTTCCAACACTAGGTTATAAAAGACTATGATTTCCACATTGCTCGTCCCCTCTTGCTGTCTCACTTGCTCACTCTGAGGAAGCCACTTAACATGCTGTGAGCCACCCTCTGGAGAGGCCCACATAACAACAAACCAAGAGCAGTCTCCAGCCAGCACCTACTGAGGAAGTGAGGCCCCCGGTCCAATGGCCCATGAAGCACTGGATCCTGTCAACAACCACTTGAGTGGGCTTGGAAGCAGGTCCACCCAAAGTTGAGCTCTGAGATGACGCCAACCCTGACCGGCACACTGACGGCCTTCTAAGAGACCCAGAGTCACGTGCAGACTCCTGACCCTCTGAAACTCTGAGATAAATGCTTACTGCTTTATGACACTATGTTTCAGGGTAATCAATTATACAGTAATAGATCATACATTGAGTTAAAGGATACTGAAGAAGGTTGGTCAATTATACAGATGTCACCCAAGCTTAGCATGTCTCGTTCAACAACAAAATAGCCTCATGTCTCATGGCTTTCCTACCAAATCCATGAGCTCCATGTTAAAAGCCCCAATCATACACTAATCCATACCAAACATGAGATTTCTCCCTACATTAAGATTCGGGTCACTCAATGACAAATTTCACCTCATCTTCTGGAAATGTCAGGGATGCAGAATATGTCAGTCTTATTGTGGACAGTCAAACACAACCACCATCTGCATCTCACCATACTGCAGACCTGACCCGCACTGCATAAAGCTTTACTTAAAGAATTGAACTGCTTCACTACTCCATGCCTGCCCTCAACAGAAGAATGGGCACTTAAAATACGCTGAATAATTTGGTCAATAATTACATGAACCCCAGTTACTTAAGAATGGGCCACACAGAGAGGGCGCCAGGTAATCTGGCATCACTGCTCTGTGGAACAAGAGCTGGGAAGCAGGTTATTTGCGGGGCCTTTCTTTTAGGAACTGCAGGAAAATTGATGAAAATACCGATATGACCTAAAAAACACACATATTTCAACAAGGAAATAAACATCAACTTACATGGGCCATGGTTTTAGACCTGCAAGAGCTGACCGGTCCTTTGGGTTCCTCTGCCATTAGAGCAGAGTCCACAAATCCCGGCCCTGGGAGAAGAGAAAGACCTTGAGACCAGCTGTGCTTCAGTGTCCCCGCAGGAACTGAGTTAGTGTTACCGCTGTGCTCTTCCATTACACGCTCCCCATCACCTCGCATCACACACAATTTGGATAAATGAAGATTCTGGACAAATCCAGTGCCCCACCCAATTCCCAGGGTCTCAGCTGCAGAGTCATTTCTGCATTGAAGCCAGACCCAGATACTTCAGCAGGAAATTCGCTGCCCAGTGCGCCACTCTGGTGAGGCTGATGTGGACCTGAGAGTGGGCGGCTCTGCCTTGCACTGCGCAGAACTTCCTCTTCCCACTGCCAACTTCAAGACCGAAAAGAGGCCGCATCACCCAAACCAGAACCTCTTTTATGGCCTTGAAATTGGATAAAGTCGATCAAAATATTAGCGATGGGCAAGGAATGTTCGGCATTCTATCTAGCAAAGCTTAGTAAACATACGCCAGGCCAACACTGTACAAAATATAAAGTAGTCATTAAAATGTATAAGTTTGGAAGAACATTTAAGGACATGGAAAATATTTCATACATAATGTCAACAGAAAAATCAGGTTGACCCATATATTTATTTTTATAAGATATAAAAATATACTAATCAATACAGAGAGAAGAATGGCAGACAGATAATCATAAAACAGAAGACAGAAAAAGTCTGGAAATTTATATGGCTATATATTTACAGTTTTTATATTTTTGTTTATGTTTTGAATTGTTTTTTTGGGGGGGAGCTAGTTTTAGAAACGGATCACTGGGACCGGCCCCGTGGCCGAGTGGTTAAGTTCACACACTCCGCTTTGGTGGCCCAGGGTCTCGCCGGTTCAGATCCTGGGTGCAGAAATGGCACCGCTCATCAGGCCATGTTTAGGCGGCGTCCCACATGCCACAACTAGGAGGACCCACAACTAAAACATGCAACTATGTACCGGGGAGGTTTGGGGAGAAAAAGAAAAAAAAAAAAAGAGGAAAATTGGCAACAGTTGTTAGCTCAGGTGCCAATCTTAAAAAAAAGGAAAAAAAGAAAGAAATCATTGTTTATTCAGTTGTTTCTAGTCAATACATGAAACAAATAAGACTAGTGAAGATGTAAAATACACCTTTGCCATGATCAGAATTTGACCTCAGCATTCTCTTTCTTTTTGCTTACATCTTGATTCTTTTAAAGTTTACTTCATAATCATTGTAACAGTTGACACAGCAACTTGAAATATGTGTGTTTTTAATTCATTAAGTTGGAGACTTCCATCAAGTTCTTTGTGCTTTAAATTCAGACTGTTTTTCTAAATGGCTTATATTTTGTTTCCTCTGGATCCCAATACCTCAACTCACTTTATCATTTCTTCTCATGTTGGTATGCTGGAATTCTATCTACAAAAAATTGGGGAACTGTCCCTGAGTAATCTCTTTTGTAAATTGATGACAGTCTCCATGCAGCTTTATTTCAGAGCTTTTGACAGAATTGTTTCTAAACCTGTCAGTTTTGTCGTGATATCCTTCAGACAGCTGCTGAATTATCTTATCTATTAATTCTGCCGTGCATCTAATATCACTGATGAAATCTATTATACACCCAACATCACTGATGAAATTTACAAGATGTAAAGATTATAGTATAAAATCTATTTATTGCCACACAGATCCCATGCGCTCAGTATAATTTCTTCATATCCCGACTGTCACTCAGTCACACTGATGTCTCATTTCTGTGAACTCACAAGGCAAGCCAGCTAAATCTCTCCAGTGGCCTTTATCACATGCTACCTTACAATTACTCCTATGCCGATTTTAACGTCCTTTATAGATTACAAGTGCTTTGAAGGAAGCAATTATGTCTTTTTAGTGATTATATTACTCCAAATATTACACTTTCCAGGCCTAGCATATTGTAGACAATTAAGATATGATTTTTGACGGCAAAACACCACTTCTACAAAATTTTTAAAGGAAATAACATAGCAGGTTTCAAAATATACGCACAAGGATGTTCATTAGAGAATGATTTTTGATAGTCCAAATTTAAAAACAGAAAAATCTCACGGTAGGAAAACAGGTCAAATATATTATGCTCTGCTATATTGTGACATACTATACCATTATTAATAAGGATAATATTAAGCCGTATAATAGATGGAAAACAATATTAAAAGAATTGCTTGGCGAAGAAGGCACGTTTAAAGAAGGATGCATAAATTAAGAAGTGATATCCTGCTGAAATTAAGAAACAGGCATTGTTTTCAGACTTTCAGGAAGTGATATTGAGCTCTGAGCTGTGAGAGTTAAAAACATCTCAGCGCCTGTCTATTCATCAGCAAAGCAGGGATAAGCGTATCACCTATGACATATGACTACCTTGGAGACTTAGTGAGATAATCCATATAAATACTAAAATGTGTATCATGATGACTAATGGAAATCAGCTACCATCATTGAAGATGAAAATTATTCCATGTGCCTTAATCTTTCATTATAAAAAGAAGTTAATTCTGGGGCTTCCTGTTTTTATTATACTGAAACTGTGCTCCTTGGGCTTTTTCTTTCTTATAATTCTAATTTTTAAAATTTCAGGACCTCCACTTGAGAAAACAGAATTCTGCTTAATAAAATCATTAGTTACAGAGACAGATTAACGGACAGGAAAAGAGAAAATGTCCCCTTCCTCAGTCCCCAGCAGCTACAGACAGCAAGAAAAACTCTGTTCAGCATCATAAACTTGTTCCAAGAACAGCATGATAAAGCTGCAAACATTAACTGGAGAATGAATCTTATTTTTCTGCAGAATATGAAGAGTTATATAAAGATTTGTAAATATAACCTTTATTTTCTGGTATAATAACTATGTTTGGAGGTATTTGTACTTGCAAGACACCTAGAAATCAGAGATTAGTCCTACTTTTTTCTTTTTTTAAAGATTGGCACCTGAGCTAACAACTGTTGCCAATCTTCTTTTCTTCTTGTTTTTCTTTCTGCTTTTTCTCCCCAAATCCCCCCAGTACATAGTTGTATATTTTAGTTGTGGGTCCTTCTAGTTGTGGCACGTGGGATGCCACCTCAGCATGGCCTGATGAGCGGTGCCCAGGATTCAAACTGGGGAAACCCTGGGCCACCAAAGTGGAGAGTGCGAACTTAACCACTCCGCCACGGGGCTGGCCCCAGTCTTATTTTTTTCTGAAAGTAACCTTAAATCTCTAAACTAACAATTCCGAAAGGGTGTCTTATTTAGTAATATGGTGTACAGGTAACAAGTTTTAAATAACATTTCTATGAACTAAAAGGTTTACTGGAATGCTTTTCAAACAAATTCCTGGCCCTCTCCTCTTCTCTCTACACACAGAGATATAAAGGAACCTATGACTGAAGTAGACTTCTGTTTCAAACTACTAGTTGGACTCTTTGTTTCCTTTATTTGACCAATTCTATTCTGCCGAAACAAAGCCACATGGAAATGGAAAAATAAATACTGGAAAAATATACACTAAAATATTAAAAGAGATTAACTCTAGACAGATTACCCGCCATTCTTGCTTTCTTCTTAATAAATTCCTTAGGAAATAAAACTTTTTTGTAATAAGCCTGCATTCATTCCATCATAATACAACATAAAGATATTTGAAAGTATTAAAAATATTTATAGACATCACTTTGGGAAGAGGCTATATTTTCCTCATTTAAAAAATCTGTAGAGGGGCCGGCCCTGCGGTTGAGTGGTTAAGTTCACGCACTTCGCTTCGGTGGCCCAGGGTTTCCCCAGTTTGAATCCTGATGGCACCGCTCATCAGGCCACGCTGAGGTGGCGTCCCACGTGCCACAACTAGAAGGACCCACAACCAAAATATGCAACTATGTACTGGGGGGATTTGACGGAGAAAAAGCAGGGGGAAAAAAAAGATTGGCAAACAGTTGTTAGCTGAGGTGTCAATCTTTAAAAAAAAAAAAAATTTGCAGATATTAGGCCTGTCATGAAAAATCAATGTGATTGAAACAAATACTACTTACTGTTCTTGAATATTCTTTAGCTGTACTACACTGATACAATTAAGAGACATTGCACTATAAACACTTTAACATTAATGGACACAGATACTGCCTCTGCAAATTAATGAGAATATGTACACCAAATACGTAGAAAAGTTTTGAGTACACAGAAGATGCTCGATAAATGTGGCTAAACTCCTTCTTTTCCTCTCTAAATAACTGATTAAACCAACATTTTGGATACAATCCTTTCAAAAAGTTTGTATAAAATTCTCTTTTCAAAATGAGCTGCATATATAATTTCCAATTTTCTTAAGTACTATTATCTACAATATCAAGGCTGCTTAACATTGGATCATACCCATTTTTTCTTCCAATGACTAACTCTTATGAACAGAAATTCTATTATCGGCATAATATTCTACCCCATGGATGGCAGTGATTTTCTTAGCCATTCCCATTATCTTGATCATTAATTTTGCACAAAACCATCAGAACGTATAACAATCTTTGCAGATCAAAAACCCAGATCCAAATCTGTTGGGTTATATACATGGTAGAAAAATGCATTTTTACAAAACATAGAGGAATTCTCTATACAACTACGAGGGCTCTGTGGTCCCTGTAAACCCACAAATATTAGGGACCCCTGGTTCCGAACTCCTGTTCCGAAAAACTTCAGCATCTGTCTAGTAATTAGACGTGCACTCATGACATTAACTTCATACTTCCGATCTACAAAAATCTTAAGGGCGAACGATCCAGAATAAACACAGCGCTGAGGGAGGACGACGCCCCACCCTCCACGGCCGCGGCCCTGTGACGGCGAGCAGCCACACGGAAGGAAGAAGAGCCTGGAATCCGGGTCAGACTCGCGGCAGTTCCCGCGCTCGGGGCTCAGGCAACGCGGTCGCTCTCAACCATGCACACGACCCCCGAGAAGCCCCGGGGGGCACAGTCCCCGGGAGGAAGCCTGTTCTTGGAGTCTCCACCCAGATGCCCCCAGGAGCCCGCGGCGGGGACAATTCCTGATCTGCACGCCCGTCCTTTCGGGTCCGCACCTTCTCACCTAGACCTTTCCTCGGGCTCAGTGTTCCCCACGTGCGGCCACATCTCCGCGGCAGCCGAGTGGGGCTGAGAGGAGGGCAGAGGAGGCGGGGACCGAGAGGCGCGCGCCACCCGACCCCACAGAGCCCCGCAGCCCCCGCAGCCCCGTCACCCAGGACGCCGCGCCCCCTCGCTCGGACCCCCGCGGCCCCTCACCCGCTCCCGTCCCGCGGGCTTCGGGCTGCGCCGCCGCGTCCTTCCCGCGCCACCCGCGCCCATCTCCTCCTCACGCGGGGCCGCTCACGCGCGGCGCGCACCGGGACGGAAAGGCGCCAGAGGCGACGTCCCTGCGCTCGTGGAGGCGGGTCCGAGGTCGCCACCGTCTCGGGGAAGGGCCGCCAGTCGGCCCCGGAGGCTTCTGGGAGGGCCGGACTGGGCTGCGCAGGCGCAGATTCCGCGCTGCTGGCGGCTCACCTGAGGCCGGGGGTGGCCTGCGGCATCCTGGTGGAGGAGGCGCGTCCGTTTGGGAGGGACTGGAGGGTTCGGGAAGGGGATGTTACTGTGGCAGGTTCGTTTTTGCCTGCTGCTAGGAAAGCCAAACCTGGAGAGTATGAGATCGCAGCAGAGAAAGAGTTTTACTCACCAGGCATCCATGTGAGGGAGCCAGAGAATGAGTCTCAAATCTGTTTCCTGGAAAAGAGGGACTCAGGGGTATTTATGGGATGGGGCCAAGGTGGTCTGAAATGTGGAGAGAGGTGATTGGAGGTGAGGAGGGGTGAGGTTATTGATGGTCTACACAAGCGCAGTCAGACTCCATGCCTCTTCACAGCATGCGTGCTCACACAATCTGGGCTTTAGCATGATCTGAGGGTGGAGGTTTTGGCTTCTTGACCTCAAAAGGTCCCTTATCAGACATCTGCTGGCGCCCAGTTGATGGGTTGGTGGTCTCAACCAGTCTGGAGTGACAAGGGGTTCTAATTCCTGAAAAGCAGCTCGCATGACCATTACCATGGTGACCCAGGCTCCAGGGAGATGTTAACTGTAGGAGCCTGGTGAGAGTCAGGCAGCAGTCAGGGTATAGGGCGTTGCTCTGGTCTCTGATGCATATCCAGTAAAACAAAAGACTATTGGGAACTGGGACCAAATGTCTGTCCCCACCTGGAGATGAGATGGAGGCCTCCCTGAGCCAGAGACCAGCCCCCTACGTAAGTGGCCTGTAGTCTTTCTTCGTGAGGTGGCTCTTTTGGACATTAGTCAGCCATCTTCCCCCTTGCTAGCAAGCTGTAATAAAACCCTTTCAGTCCTACCCCCTTGCCTCTTGGCTATTGGCGTGTCTTACAGCAGGCAGATGACCCCACCCCCACCCCCACTTCAGTCCTTGGGCAGAAACAAAAATAGTAATGTGACCCTAAGGACCATTTCGAGCTTGCCTGGGCGTGAGCTCCTGAACATGGGTTCACACCCTATCCATATTCTATATTTGTGTGTCTATGTGTGGGTGTGTGCATGTGCCCACATGTTCTGGTATGTGTGCATCTTGGTCCTAAAATGCTCATTACATCTGAAATGTCACAGATGCTCACTATGATATTTCTGTTTTAGAGTTGAACCTTCTGAGGTCAAAAGAGGGTACATATCCTGCACAAAGTTAGACTGTTTAGTGGCAAACCCATGTTTCCAGGTGAGACAAGCTGGATGAAGTGAGACTCTACTGTACAATGTCTTATTGAAGAAAAGGAGAGAGCAAATTTGGCTCCTTTTTAAGATCACAGACTGTAGGAGGTGTTTGAAAATTAGAAAAAAATTACTTTTTTTCACAATATCATGCCCACCAGAGACAGATTTTTTTTTTTTTTAAAGATTCGTACCTGAGCCAACATCTGTGACCAATCTTCATTTTTTCTTCTTCTTCTCCCCGATGCCCCCAGTACATAGTTGTATATTCTAGCTGTAAGTCCTTCTAGCTCTGCTATGTGGGACGCTGCCTCAGCATGGCTTCATGAGTGGTGCTAGGTCTGCGACCAGGATCCGAACCGGTGAAACCCTGGCCACTGAAGTAGAGCACATGAACTTAACCACTCGGCCACAGGGCAGGCCCTGAGACTGCTTTTTGCTACAGCAAATTTTTTCATCCCTCTCTGTTGTATTGTATTTGGAGTGGGCTTGACTGCATAGAAGCCAGAAATTGAGAAACATCTTTAATTTGTATTCCTGGCTATGAGATTCCTTTGAAAAATATTCTGCTTCTTAAGCATCTGGATAGTAAGATAAATTGTGGCCACAGCTTAAAATCGGAGAAGAAGGTGCTATCAGAAGAATCAGCATTGGTCCATATGTGTTTAGATTCATGAGAATGCTGAGCAAATGGGAAGTCTACAGTTAGTCATCAAAGGATGCCCATATTTCAGTTATCACCACTATTACCTATTTGAAATATGTAATGCATAACAATTCAAAAGGCATTAAAATGTTTAAATAGAAAGATAAGCAACCATTCCTGACACGTATCCCAGTCATACAGTAGCTCAGCTCAGAGTCAACAACATGTTGGTGTCGGTGTGTGTCCTTCTGGAGAAGTTATTTTCACATACAAATATGCACTTGCTGTATACATACATACATATATATATATGTATATACACACACACAATACACAGAAATGTAAGTATCAATATATGTGTATATTATATGCATATATAATTTCAAATACATTTATATGTTATACACGCATATATGTATGTATTTCTTTTTCTTCACACACAAGTGTTTCTAAATCAGCACATGGGAGTGTCATCATTTCCAACAGCTGCCTGAGGCCAAATGGCTGTACCCTAGTGTAAGAAACAAGTTTTCTAATAATGTATGTTAAGGAATGTCCTATGTTTTCTTAAAAGCAATGCTCTAATTAATATCCCAACACAACTATCAGTTTGCTTGTTTATAGGTTTATACGTAAGGTAAGTTCTCAAACGTGGATTCGCTCTGTGAATTTTAACTTGTGGTGTTGACAGGTTTCTCCGTAGCATGACCACACCATTTTACATTTTCACGCCAGTGTATGAGCGTCTGTTTCCTCAACCACCTCAACTCATTTTGACTCTCAGTTCTTCTTACTCTAATGCTCCACTTTCTCCCAACCCAGAAAATCATCTCAGTCTTTTTCCTTTTGGGTCTAGTTTAATGAGGATTCTATACCTGGAATTTCAGCCTCATCTGTCTTATGATAGGGCAATAGTGTAATAATATTCGTCTTAGGTTTGCAGACTCAGCAAAATGAAATTTCCTTCACAGACATATTCCTAAGATACTCCTGGGTAGCTCAACTTCAGACACATAAAAACTAGGTTCTGAACAGAATCTAACATCTCTATTTCATGTTTGAGTTCTGTAAGGATCCTATGCAGTGTGGACACAGAAAGCTCACGAAATGGCAATACAAATGGGTAGTGAGGTGTTTTGTTGGCATCCTCTTCACTCTCCTGGTGACAGAGGGACTCCCACCCTAGGTTCTGGAGATGCCTGAACACACCACATCCAGACACTGGATAAATCAGATGGACAGCAGTTTATTAGTCACACAACCTTACATCCTGGGGGAGGAGGACACCACATGCCACAGGGTGGTCGCACTTGGGGGCAGAGTAAACCGGCAGGGGCTGTGGGAGGCAGGCTTTGTGCTAACAAGAGGACAAGGTGCCCTCTGATTTCCATGGGAAGATGTGATTGGCTTGCTTGAATAATTTTGTGGGCTGGCAGGGAGCTGAAGCCCATTAGGCCGAGGACCCAGTGGGGTGCAGCTGGTCTGGCTGACACGGGAACTAGCTGGTTGGGAGCTTTCCTAGTGGGGGAAGGGACATATCTGATTAGAGCAGAGGAACTCATGGTTAGGGCTTTGGGACCCTGTGATGCTCAAAGACATTGACAACACATGGAATTTTAGGCCTTACAATACAGGAGAAAGGAGGAAGCAACTTGAAATATTCTTTAGTAATTTCATTATTAAAATTAATATTATCTCACAATTTGGAAATGAAAACATAAAGGAGAGCCTAATCATTCATAATACACCTGTACAATAAAAAACAATACGGGTATTCTACTTCCTGAAACTGTAAAACTCCTGGAACATAATATCGGTAGTACTCTCTTTGACATCCAACTAAAAAGGATCTTTTCAAATACTATGTCCTCTCAGACAAGGGAAACAAAACAAAAAATAAACAAGTGGGAATTCATCAGACTAAAGAGCTTCTGCAATGCAAAAGAAACTAGAATCAAAACAAAGAGACAACCCTCAGGGTTCCAGTTACTGATGTGCCAGCGATGAGGGAGAGCAAAATGGCCTGAATCACAGGAATTTAAAGAGAAGAACATCAAGGGAACACCGGAAGTCAATCTAGACCCAAGAGGAGACCCAAAGGCTGATCTATGGGAAGTTCGGTATTTAATAAACTTCTGTACTTTCATAATTGTGAAAGGAGACCCTCCGCACCCAACACAAGCCAAAACATGCACTCACACTCAAATTTCTGTTATTAATAACACTGGCAGTATTCAGGATTTTTTCATTCTTCTCCAGAGAATCATGAGGAATAAATATTAACTTTGCTCGGTAGGATTTCACGTCTTGGTTCGGGCTGTCGTAACGGAATCTCATAGGCTGAGTGGCTTACAAACAACGGAAATCTATCCCTCACAGGCCTGGAGGTGGCACAGGCCAAGACCAGAGTGCTCAGCACGCTGGGCTTCTCGTGAGAGCCCTCTTCCAGGCTGCAGACTGCTGACTCCTCATTGTACGCGCACATGGAGGAGTGACAGCAAGCTCTCCGGGCGCTCTTACAAGGACGCTAATCCCATTCACGGGGGCTCCATCCTCAGGATCTCATCGAATCCTAATTGCTTCCCAAAGACCCCACCTCCTAATACCATCACAATAGAGGGGAGGGTTTCAACGTATGAATTTTGGGGGACAGAAGCATTCAGTCCACAACAGACCCTCAGAGAAAAGAGCCTGAGTGAAGGGAACTCTGGCAACATCATCTTGGCGAGTACTCAGTCAACCCTTCTTTGAAGTATTGAGCCAATCAGATCGGAACTTATGGAGCTTGAGGTCAGTCTGAGCTGGTCATTCACATTAAAAATATTACCTTAAGAACTTGATGATTATAGAAATTTCTTTCCTTTCTCCCTCATTTCCTCTATTTCATTTAGTGAGGCATAAGAAGGAAAATATATACTAATAATATTTATAAACAGGAATATTCAAAAAAGTTTAAATTGTATTAAGTCCCATTTAATATTATAGTTTTGTATGCCATTTTGGAAGGACTGTACACAAGATAATATTTCATGTATTTGTATACGTCCTGAAGTAGAGGAGGAGCGTGACTACATTTATTGAGCAACTATGGATACCAAACACTGTTCTACTTTTCATTTCCTCTCTGATTCAATATGCAAATACCACTTACCTGGATTGTGTTTATTCTTGGTAAAATCTTGCAGTGGAAGTAATTGTTTTGTGGAGATTTAG